TAGCAATCGCAGAGACAGATGATTGAAAGAAAGCCGTGTCAGCGGAATAGAGTGCAGCGACTAGCCTGTCCTAGCGCCGATGTGGACTACACACTTCTCCGCGCTGGCCTGGTGAATACAGTCGTGATTTTAAGACCGCTAGCTAATTAATAATAATTAATTGTTTTTTTTTCTAATTTTGTCCGTTAAATTAATAAGTAAATTATTATTGTCATTAAATAGTGTTGTGAAAATCAAAGTTGATTCATTTGTGTAAACATTGTATGATTGGTAGAAGGTGTGGTTTAAAGACAAAACAAAACTAATAACGCCCCAAATTTCTAACAATAGAACCTTTATTCAGTCTAGCATTCGGATAATGTACAAGCAAGCGCCAAGTTAACAGCCCCCGTTTACCTTACATTTAATAGGTCGCAGGAGTAATAAGCCTTTCAGCCTTGATGGTGTCCTTGCCGCAGCAATAATCCCTCGGATTGGATTAGGACGTTTTCATAATTCGCTTGTGAACAATGCAAATGTCATCATTAACGTGCATTTCAAACATATTTTGTCGCTTCGAGAAGTCTTACAAATCTATTGTTAAGAAACCGTTTGTGTAAGTTTTCTATCTCAAGGACGAGAATTCAAAATTTTATAACTGACAATTTCAGTATTTTCGACGGCACTTGAATTATCGCGCAACGAGTAGTGTTTGTTTATATTATTAGGTTATGAAGATATTTATTTATTTACTTTCGGAAATTAGTTAATTGTGAGAGTCAATAAATTATTGTATGAAATACAATTTGTGTCCTTTTTCTACGTCTCCGCAAATAAGTCAATGAAAATTTTGCATCACAAAAAAGTCGTTTCGGAAAGTTCAATGATAGGAGTGATAGGACAGCATAATTTCGTGATTTTCTAAAAAGAGAGGTGAATTATTTCTAAAGTATGTATGTGCAAAATAGATGCAATATGTACAGGGTTAGTCACTATAATCTGATAACTTATGGTGAGTTTATTATTGAAATTGCAAAAAAGTTTTGAATACAAAAGTTTTATCTCTTTTTATAGCTGTTTTACCTTGACAATTTATTGACGAATAAATTGACGAAGTTCTTCATTAATTAATTCACGAATTTATTGGTAAACAGTGTGGTTTTACACTGCTACAGCCATTGTCAAGTTTTTTAGACGTATGAATCAGTTCTACCAATGAATCAAAGAAGAAAATAAATTTCAAAAATGTCACATTTCCACTCATAATTGTAGTGATACAACAGCGGTACCGTTTGAAGTGACTTCATGAATTAATTGATCAATAAATTGTCAATGTAAAACAGCTATTATGAATTTTTATGATACAGTACATATTAGAAAAAAACAATTGAATAAGGGAAATCACTAAATTAAAGAATTTTTTAAATTCAACACCAACATATATTAGTGCATACTTAGGTTCGTTCAATTTCGGAAATCGCCATCTATTGCTTATTTTAAATGGAACACCCTGTATATTATTATCGGCAAGATATATTTAAAATAAGTCAAAAACGTTAAAGCTTCCTTGAACCTAAATTTAACCGTTTTCGGGATACGTAATCGGTATTTTATAAAAATTTTGACAGAAGCAAGCGTTTTGAAAATTCTTTATATCTTTCATCGTTCTGGAAGCTTTCACTTGCTTTTTGGAAGACGCAAAGAATGTAAGATGCACTACCTTCAACTATCAAAATCACCTGAAGAAAATTATATCAAGTGAACCGTTTTTAACGTTACATTTTGAAAACTTAAAACCGACAGAACTTATTAAATTCGAATGGAACACCCTTTATTTTTTTAGTATAAGATTCTTATTTTAAATGCGACACCCTATATATTATTGCATTTTCGGATTCTACGTGAAATTTGAGAGTCACTTTATTAAATATTCCCTATACCTAAGAGTTATAGATTTTGAGGTATTAATTTTTAAAGAAAAAGTTTGACAGATGCATATATCAGCGAAGATGCTAGTAACTCTTTTCAAGTGCGTGACATCAAGTGGATTTTTGGTACCTGTAAAGGGCATAGGTGACACTACATTATGGTATATAAACAAGTTGAAACATTTAATACTACGTGGTTCATTTTTACTGTTACATTTTGATAACTTCAAACAGCTATTACTTTGTAAATTATTTTTTTACTCCCTCGTATGCAGTTTGAAATTTCCTTTCAAGCCATATAATCATTGTCATGGTTGCCGTTACTACTTTTAAAGTTATTTGCATTTTTTTGGGACAGTTTTTCTTATATCGGACCTGTTATCAAATTGGCCGTTCCAAAAACAATTAAAATAACTTAACATTTGTCAAATTATTGTTGCGTCTGAATAGTTTTTGCCGAAAATTTAAATAAAAATGGCTGGGGCTTTTTGACATCACGAAACAAACCGATGCATTTTTTTCTTGATAAACTGTTTTAACCTGCTTCAAACATATTTTCATATTCAAATTATTCGTATGATTATTACTTGTTCTGAATATTATCTATATATCTACAGCCTACTTTGAGACACCGTGTTTAACAACTGCATTTAGACAATTCAGTAGCATATATTTTGTTTCAAATAAAAAAAATCAGGGGGTATTACAAAGCTTAACCTTGCTAATTTCACATATGTAGATGCAATAAAATGGCAGATCATAAATTATAAAAAATAGTTCCTGTTATGCACTCAGTTTCCCGGCGAGAACAAAAACAAACAGTTCCCACAACTGATATAAATCATTGTTGCCAGATCGTAGGTTTCCCAGCATTGTGGATATTATTATAAATCTACCGCGAAAACATTTTATGGCGACACACATCTTAATCGCTTAACGAAATATTTCTCAGAACGAAAACTAAGTTCTAAATTATAAAAAAATATCAATGTTTACAAATCTTTTACAAATCTATGTATCATTAATTGTGTGTAATGGTAGGTACGTGAATAACTTGACATATACGTCAAACGTCTGTAATAATAATTGCCGTTTGCGGTAAAACACCATATACTAAAATATATTCTTTACGATTGCATATTTCATTACAATTTGTTAATCATACGACACTTTTGCGTCAAGATTAACTTTATAATAGGTGGTATAACTTCGCTTTATTTCTACATGGAATCCTAACGGTACTTTTCAAAATCTGTAACCGAAATAACGCCACATACGACCGTTGCTGCAGCGAAGTATGAAATTTGCTTCATTCCAGTCTTCACTTCTCTTATTCTTACTCGGTGGATATACAGGGTATTCTAGAAGAGCTGTACAGACTCTTAGGATCGATCAAGTCAACTCAGTTAAATGCGTGTATAAAAGTTAACGCCTACCGAGATTCGGCCCTCTGAATTTGGTAAAAACTACATATTTGGGTACCTAGATCTCGAACATTTAAAAATAATTCATTGAAATTTTATAGAGGTTTCTGGACATATAAATTAGGGTGAAATTTAACTTTTAACTAAAAAAACAAAACGCTAATACTTTTTTTTAATTTTAGCACTAGACTCCTATTGATTTGGATTTTATTTAGGAAAAATTGAAAATCTCTTCAAAAAGCATCTTTAATTCTATTTTTTGCAGTCCAATCGAACTCTTGAAACGTTATTATTAAATTTCGTATAATTTTGTCCATATAGGCGTTTAGGTATCTCTAATAGTTTCTGAGATTCGCTTAACCGTTTTTGCTTGCCTAACTATTAAATAAGCATACAACCTGAATATGCTCCTAGATTTTTGAAGAAAGAGATCAAAATCGGCCAATATTAAAAATAACTTGCATTCTTCAAAAAATATTACAGTTTATTAGCTAAATTCTAATAACTTTTATTTATTTCGATCAGATTTAAATTTCCCATCAACATACATATTAAAATAAAGTACATTTTTATCAGTATAATGGAGTAAATATTGACTCGTAATGATGTTCTCGACCAAAGAAATAATTGCTGATTTTTTGTAGTATTATTAATTACCTATAACTATTAGACTGATACAAATTCATTGAAAATTATAAAAACGCCCCCCTTAAAGATCTTATCCATGATATATTGCAGTTAAAAGAATATATTCGTAAATTTTACTCCATTTTAAAGATTTATAAAAAAAATAAAGTAGGTTACTTGAAACAGTCCTACGTAAAATATGGAAACAAAAAAATATCTTTGTTGTAGCTGTTAGTCTGTGTTAAAAGTTAATTACATTTAGACATACGAGAAATATAATGTTTGAATGTATCAAAAAATTAAAAAAGTTATTTTTTTCAGATTTCTTCCTTTTTTTTTGTACATATGCCTAGCGCCTACTAATTTACATTTCCTAATAACAAACATCTACGGTTTTCCAAAAAAAAAAAAGCTGTAACCGATTAGAAAAGAACCCCCTGTACAAGAATAAGTTAATTGAGCTTGTGGATGCAGTCAACGATTTGTCTAATCGGTTGAACCTGCGATTGAGTGTTAAGTTCCATAAAATTAACTGTGCAGAAATAAAACAATACAAGTTTAATTGTAATCCTCACGCTTTATTTTCCAAGGCTAATAAAAACTGACAATGCCAGCCAGTGGACACGGCGATGAATCCTAAGATTCGAGTCATGGTCGCTTGGACAGTCATTGGCAATAAATAACAGGTCAACCCACAGTAACAAATAGATGGAAATGAAAAAGTGAATTGATTAAGACTATCGTTCATTACAAGATCTAGGACAAATATAGTTTTCTTTTAATAATAGAATGAGATTTTTAAAAACAAATTATATGTACGTGATACAGGGTGTTTTGCATGCTTTAATTGAACTCTACTTAGGTACTGTTGATTAATGCTTTTGGTACATTCACACCGTATGGTAAATCACCATATTTTGGGTTCCCCTACATGCCCCTGCTTTGTGTCGGTTCTTATGGGAAACACCCTGTATATCGATAAACATTATGCATGAAAATTATGTTATCAATTATCATTAATGTGTTTTTCATTTTGTTGCAGATTTAAGAATGGCAAGATATACACTTACATTGGAGAAGTATGTGTTTCTGTAAACCCTTACAAAACGATGAATATCTATGGTCAAACCTATGTAGATCAATACAAAGGTATGTACAGAATTTTTCACCTCAAAAAAAATACAATGATCATTAGGAATTGTACTTTACTCGATGATTTTTTTTACATATAATTGAGGTTTAATTTGAATAAAACATGGTAAAAATTATATATTTTTTTAGTCATTGTGCCTTATTAGCACCTTATCAACATTTATCAACAAAATGTATACAATCGTTTATATTTTTATTGTTCTTGTGAAGTGATGTTCTGTAATCCCCTTCAGCTTAACAGATACCCCTTATCTGTGGCATCATGCTGTCATCAATCTATTTTTTCCATTCATCCGAAACAGCAAGTTGCAATTCCACTGGATAAGGACATTTCTATTGCCTTATTTATTTATTACTCCGAAAAAACCTGACTTGAGATAACATTACTGGTGTAATCTATGCTTTGATAGATGTCAGTGCTAATAAAATAATAAAGCAAACAATTCTCGTTAATTTATTATTTCTGTGATGGAATAAGCGCAGAACTGGAATGATAAAAAGGTACTTAAAAATATCAGCTTAGAATATCATGATAATTATGAAAAATATTTGTGTAAATCCCAAATAAATTAACAACTAATTGACAGATAAAAGCTTTTGCTTTGGCAGGGGTTTTGCTCAACCTTTTCTTTGATGAAAATGTATTATCATGTACTTTGAGTCATTTATACAGGGTGTTCTTGGAATGATTGGAAAACGTATAATAGTGGAATAATTGTTCAATTTTACGGGGGTTGTTCATAGGACTTTTCAATCCAAGCTTAGCTTCTTCTAAAAAGTTATTAACTCCTTTCAAGTAGAAATATATTTTTTTGCAGTTAGAAAAATAAACATTGACATATAAAACAGCATTATATTATTTTCTGTAGTCTCTGATGGCAATATAAGCTCTACCATCTGACTTTTCATTATTTTCTTTTTATTTTTGAAGAAATCGAAACAAAAACATTTTCATAGTTGCTGTATACATATATTTAGAAGCTTCTTTATGTCTTCTAAAACATTGATATCTTAGTTTTTGACTGGAATAGTAATACTTCTAATATTTTTTCAATAGTAGAGCTTGTGTTATTCTGATTAATGTCTTTAATTATTGCTTATTGTTCTACAGACTATTATATGAAAATTTAGTTGTTTTTTCAGCTAATGTTAATATAATTGCAGTAATTTTGAGCAAGTTCTGTAATACCAATGATTAGGTTTTTTTTGCACTAAAATAGATACAAAAAAGATAAAGTAGAGCATCAGAATACCCAAAAAATAAACAAATTTCGTATCACCCTACATATTAGGTATATAATTTGGAAATGACTATTCTGATGAAGTTTTGATTATTGTCGTACTAAATTGGGTTTTATGTTAGGAAGGGAACTCTTCGAAAATCCACCCCACATCTTCGCCATAGCGGACGCCTCCCACAAGGTGATGAAACAGCAAGGTAGGGACACCTGCATCGTCATCAGTGGTGAGTCGGGATCGGGAAAAACAGAAGCTTCGAAGATCATCATGAAGTATATCGCCGCCGTTACAAATCAAGGTACATACAGAAATTTTTTTGTAGTTCTTCGTAAAGAACAACAAAATTTAAAAAAAAGAGCAAGATTCTAGGAATCACTTTTTAAATTATTTCTCTGTTCTATTCTAGTTCATTTAATATTTAATTGAAGCCATCGTTCCATTAGTAACCCGTTATATTTTTTTATATTTCAGACAGTTTTCGTAACCCTAGTAAGTACAGAGATGTTTGAAGCACACGAAAACGTAAATAAATATGTGGTGTGTTCTATGTTGTCGATTAAATCCATGCTTATTTTACGCACACAGGTTTATACGATACTAAAAGTGGTACAAATCAAGCGACTACGTTTCGATTTCATTGGTCGGAAAATGTAAATGTCTTTGTCCACGTCTAGGTCACTTGATTTGCTAAGCACCGTTTGTTTCTGTATTATACAAACAATAAACTAACATCACACAGGCCGTGGAAAATTAACAATAACAAATAACAACTAGGAAAGGTTTCGTTTATAGTAACCGTTTCTGTCTTTATCCCCCGTTTTGGTCAGTTCTTGATTCCACTTCGTTTTAGGCGGTCAGAAGGAGATAGAGAGGGTGAAGAACGTTCTTATCCAGTCGAACTCCATCCTGGAGGCGTTCGGGAACGCCAAGACTAACCGCAACGACAACTCGTCCAGATTCGGGAAGTACATGGACATTCATTTCGATTTTAAAGGGGACCCGATCGGCGGGCATATCAGTAAGTACCTGCTGGAAAAGTCCAGGGTGATCCACCAGCAGGGGGGCGAGAGGAACTTCCACTGTTTCTACCAGGTAAGAGTGTTTTTTTTTTTGTTAAAGTTGGCTCCCATGCGAAAATTTGGGAAAGTCAATTCAGATAAAAGAGCTAAAAGTGTAGCGAAAATGCAATTATAACGGTTTAGAACTTTCAAAACATTCAAAAAAATTCAGAAAGCAACAGATTGGATATTTTTAAGACAAAATAATATTTTTTAATTTTGACGGATCGTAAGTACGTTTGACTTTAGCTTCTAGGTGGCGCCAACGAAGACTTACTGAAAAGACTGAACCTAGCCCGTAACCCAGACGAGTATTTCTACGTGAAGCAGGGCAATGCACACAAAGTCGACACCATCAACGACCGCAACGACTACAGGGACGTCGTGAGCTCCCTGAACACCCTGCAGTTCTCCAAAGAGGACCAAGACCTGCTATGGCGCGTAGTGGCCGCCATCCTCCACCTGGGAAACGTCGAATTCGACGTGGACGAGGAAAAACTGATCCTGAAAAAATCCAGATCTGTGGACATCGTTGCGGACCTGCTGAAAGTGCAGAAGAAGGACTTGGAGACGGCCCTCTGCGAGCGGGTGATAGCCGCGAGGGGCGATATCATGCGGAAGGAGCACACGGAGACGGAAGCGGCGTTCGGGAGGGACGCCTTCGCCAAGGCCGTGTACGAGCGGTTGTTCGGGTGGATAGTGGATAAAATTAACTCCGCCATAGCCGTGGACGCCAACAACTACAGCAGGAACCACAAAAGCTCCCTGATCGGCGTGCTGGACATCTACGGGTTTGAAATTTTTGATAACAACAGCTTCGAACAGTTCTGCATCAACTACTGCAACGAGAAGCTGCAACAGTTGTTCATCGGTAAATTTCCCGTTGAAAAGTACCGGAAAACGAGTGTAACATTTTTTTCTAGAGTTGGTATTGAAACAGGAGCAAGAGGAGTACAACAGAGAGGGCATAGCTTGGACCAACATCGAGTACTTCAACAACCAGGTGATCTGCGATCTAGTCGAGGCCCCGCACCAGGGCATCATCTCTATAATGGACGACGCTTGCAAGATGACGGCAGAGAAGGTGACGGATGAAATGCTGCTGGAGGCGATGGATAGGAAGTTGAAGGGGCACAAGCACTACATGTCCCGACAGGTGAAGCCTTCAGAGAAGAATCTGAAGCACAAGATCGAGTTTAGGATAACGCACTACGCCGGAGACGTGACCTACTGCATCCTGGGGTTCCTGGATAAGAACAAGGACATGCTCTTCCAGGACTTCAAGAGGTTGCTGTACAACTCGAGGGATCCGGGGCTCAAGGAGATGTGGCCCGAAGGAGCACAGCATATTTCGGAGGTAAGATTTTTACCGAATTTGATTTTTCAGTGAAATTAAAAAAAGAAATTGTTTTGAATTTTCGAAATTACAAATATTTATTTTTTTAATCCGTTCATCTTCATGTACGTTTTCGAGGACCGCTGCTAACATGGAAATTACTTATTTAAGCGTGCACGCCATTGAATTGAGAGTATGCCAAGTCATGCGTCATGAAAATTATTTAGAATAAAACTTCGATCTTTTAGTTTCTTACTCCAGGTTAAATCTAACGTACTGTGACTGATTCCAGTTTAAATAATCAGAAACGGTTTTAAGAGAGAATTTAACACAAAATCTTAACTTCAAAATAAAGAAAACGTTTAAGAAATTGAAAAATGAATTACATTAAGTTAAATTATTGTAAAGTTGTGCTATTTAATAAGCAAATCTGTCCAAATGAGCTGTAAGGACCTACAGGAAAAATTCTTGCAAACGCGTGAGTAGCGGGGGAAGGAGAGGAAGCGCTCGGCCATTTACACCGATGTTCAAGTGTTTGTTTCGTTAGTTTCGCTGCATTTTAACGAAAATATGAAATGTACGTTCTTTAGTATTTTACTTCTAGTTTTGAAAACCGGTATTAGAATTAAAATCGGTCCATTTTTAACGCATGCAGACTCCCGGCAAAAACGCAAAAAAAATGTTAAATTGCAATCGTGCAAAAACTAATGGTCTGCCAGGACCTGCCTTTTACACTCTTAAATTTGATATAATTATCTACTTCCATGCCAAATTTCAGCTTTTAATATTCATAAATGACAAAGTTATAAGTTTTTGAAAAAAATGGTGAATTTTTCAGTTTTTCTCCGGTTCCAATCAACCAATCGAATCGCTCGACCTCTCATTTTCTTCGATATAAATTTCCTACAACTTTTCCATTTACGAAATTAAGATTGCTGTAGTAGTTTTGGTTTTATAAGCAAAAAACTAAAAAAAAAACGCGTTTTTTGCACTAAAATGTTAATAACAAATTAATTAATGAGAGTGGCGAGTCGAAAACACTTCAGAGTATATCTACGGAGGACTGTCTTTTAAATGATGGCACAGGTGGTATGCTGTTGATATTTTTGTCACATATTTTTACCTGTTATGTTTATCGTTACTTTTCCTTTATCCTGCTTTATCGTTACTTTACATGCCCGTTGAATATACAAAAAATCCGTTATGGTACTTGTACTTGTGACTGGACCAAAAAAAACGACTATTTTTTTTTTTTTTGAAAGATATATCGAGAATGACGAATCATTCAGTCAATGGAATAAATTGGTATTATACATCATCGACAATTATTATTCTGTCAATATAAGCACCAAAAATATCCAAAATTCTTAATATATTCACTCAATAGCTATTTTTTCTACAACAGAACGTTTCAAAATAATTTTAAAAATAACAATTATGTAGTTTTACTATTGAAAATTATTTATTTACAATATTGTATACATTTATATGAAAGAAAAATCATTGTAAGTATCTTTATTGAGTGAAAAAAATTGGGTACAAAATAAAAAAAACAAAAATTTAATTTTTACTTCAACTTCAATCGTGAATAACTTTTGAAGGAGTAAATTTATGCAAAAATGTTAACAGACCTTTTTTCTAGAGCATTAAATTTCCTTTGAAAATCTATATTGTTCCTTTTCAGATATTAATTTGTTCCTTATTTACAAAATTCCAAAGTTAAAAAGTCAAATCGAAAAACATATCAATTCTCAAGGCTTGATTACACGAAAACGGTTCGTCTGCCAAAAACTTTTTTGTACGGCAATCAATTTCCTTCAAAAATATATGTAGATAAATTTTTTTACCTCAATCATGTGGCAGTTTTGAAACAAAAATGGAATCAGAAATAAAAAAACTAAACTAGCTTAAAACTAATATTAAAGGCTCAAACTCTCACGATATTTTTTTCATCTTTCTGAATGATATTCTTTCAAAAAAAAAAATAGTAAAATTTTTTTGGCCCAGTCTTCTATACAATCACACTTCACAGAATGCTTTTATGAAACTATTAAAACATGAATTAAATAATTCATAATTATTGAGTACTTTAATAAAATTCTCGACAAAACACCTTCCGATGTTTAGATGTGTGCCCATATTTTCGTGATCTTTCACTGCGAAAAATTAAAAGAATCCTCGTATTTCAACATTTTCTTAGTTTAGACAAATTCTCTTGTATTATTGTCTTACTAAAAGTGTGATTTCTTGTCTATAAAATGCCAGCCTGAAATAAAATAAAACATTTCCACAAAAAAGAATGATGATGAACTTTCCTTGTTGGTATGGGTCAAATCTTGCAACTGAATTTTAAAACAGGTATCCCAGCTGAAATTTGGCATACACTTTTAGTTTGGATGACAATGCATGGTTAGCTAACTGACGTCATTCTAAATCCAATATGGCGGACTCCCAAAGATGACGGTCCAGTTATTTTTTATACACCCCCATGATATGGGTATCAAATGAAAGGGTTTGCTGAGAAGAATACGAAAATTAAATGAATTTACTAAAAGCTTGTTTAAAAAAAAAAATTATACACGAACTTATTTTTCAAAGCAGTGTTGGTTTTGTTTTAATTATATCCACGGGAACAGGTTTTTTTAAACATTTTTTTTTTATTTTTGTCAATTGAGATATGTGCTTGTAGATATTGAATAAAATCGAGTTTAAAATACTTAAAATTATATATTTCCATTTCTCAATTATTATTTTTTACCCAACACGCATAAATAAATGCCAAAAGTCGCAACAGAATCTTGGCAACAGCATACGAGTATGCTGAGTTTTTTTATTTGTAAGTTGACAGTCCTTGTCATGTATACAGGGTGTTTGTAAATAAGTGCAAAATATTTTGTGGAGTGGTTGCCGAAGTTATTTTGTGAAAAAAGTTCATATAAACATAGGTTGAAATATGCTTCTTTTCCTAGATACAGTTTAAATTTTAATTTTTTATTTATTTTTATTGATTATTTCAGAATTTTAGATATTGACTCAAAATTTGATGGTTGCATTTTATTTAGAAATATTGGCAGCAACCTACTACATAATGTATAAAAAGAAATTAAAATAAAATATGTTTTATTTTTTTACTCAAAAATTGTGCATCCTACAAAAAAATTGAGAGACCAATTTCATTCAGAATTCATGGTGGATTTCTAAAAAAATATCAAATTGGGAAAAAGTCAGTGCCGTTTTTTTTTTATAAAAACAGGTTGCAGCATTCTTACACGAATACCACTGGTGCAAGTAGAAATATTCGGATCACCCCTAAAAATGCAAATTTACGCCTCCAAAACGTTTTTCAAATTTTAAAAACAAAAACAAATTTATAAATAATTCGAAAACAATTCGCAAAATTTGATTTCGCATTGCAAAAATAGTGTATTTCAATAATGCAAAATTGGTTGCATTTTTTCGTAGCACCGGTCCTCCTTAAGTAGCCGAAAAATTGATTGGACTGGCACAAATGTTACCACAGTAAAAAAGTTGTTCATAGGGATTTTTTTTTGGAAAGTATTATAGACCAGTGCTTAAGCCTTCAAAAATGGTAAAAAGTGAAAAAAAATTATAGTAGGATGAAACCCATTGGAAAAGGAAGAGAATATAACAGAAATGAAAAGAAAAATAATTTTCGTGCGATCTGAGGTCGGGAAGGGGAAGGGGGTGAGTTTTTAAGGGTAAAAAACGGTATATCTTGATTTTCGGAAAAACTACAAGTCTTATGGAAAAAAGTTAAATGGCAAAGTTGTAGGTAATAAAAAGATCTACAACTTTTGTATCTACACTTTTTTCACATAACCTCAAAATTTATGTGAAAAATTGAAATAACGAGTTTATTAAAATAAACAATGTTGTTAAAATAACAAATTTTTTTTTTCACGAAATTTGGAGAAAACTTACCTATTTATGTCCCAAACACGTATTTTTTTTGATTTGGAATATTTATTTTTTCACCTTATTTTTACTTAATATCGAAAAAGCACCCTAATTTTCAATTGAAAATTCTCACATCAAAATATCTGCTTTTTTAAAAACGTCGGTGGGCTTTTTCTTCGTTGAAATCTCTACTTTCTGATGGTGTAAAAAAAAATATACATTACTATGGTAAGTTTTCTCAGGAAATGCAAAGAAACGAAAGAAGATTCTACAACTTTCTCAAAATATTGTAGATGTCTTATTAAATATTAACTTTATTAACTTATTTGGTTGTTAATTATAATAGTATATTTCGACTTGTAATTTTTTTGTTTATCAATGTAACATGGAATCTTACGTTTTTCGAGTAATTAAAGTGTAAATTTTAATAAATAGCTCAAAATTGTACATAATGATTAGAAAAAAATTTTCGGATTCTAGTTCGTTTCTTTGCATTTCCTGAGAAAACTTACCATAGTAATGTATATATTTTTTTACACCATCAGAAAGTAGAGATTTCAACGAAGAAAAAGCCCACCGACGTTTTTAAAAAAGCAGATATTTTGACGTGAGAATTTTCGATTGAAAATTAGGGTGCTTTTTCGATATTAAGTAAAAATAAGGTGAAAAAATAAATATTTCAAATCAAAAAAATTACAGCGTGTTTGGGACATAAATAGGTAAGTTTTCACCAAATTTAGTGAAAAAAAAATTTTTGTAAAAGAAAAATAAAAAACAAAAACTTGGTTATTTGAATTTTTCACATAAATTTTGAGGTTATGTGAAAAAAGTGTAAATACAAAAGTTATAGATCTTTTTATTACCTACAACTTTGTCATTTAACTTTTTTCCATAAGACTTGTAGTATTTCTGGAAATCAAGGGAAACCGTTTTTTACCCTTAAAAAATCACCCCCTACCCCTTCCCGACCTCAGATCGCCCGTAAATTATTTTCCCTTTAATTTCTGTTATATGCTCTTTCTTTTCCAATGGGTTTCATCCTACTATAATATTTTTGGTTTCAAAAATTATCGATCCTGGTCTATTAAAGAACTGTATAATTATGTTAAAGTAAAAACAATCGACTACTGTCAACCTACATTTTATTAAAATAATAAACAGAAAGAGTGACCGCAAAAAACCTGTGATTTTTGCCCGTTTTTTTCACAATTTGCAGAGAATTTAAAAAAATACATAAAAATATGTTTTTGGTCGCAAATTGTTGTAAAAAACTGAAATGAGCATAGCTTTGAATATTTCGAAAATTTAAAAAATCACCCCTACTTAGGGGTTAAAAAAATGCCAAAAATGAAGAATTAGAATATTACCAATTGATATAAAAACTATTAGCATGTGAATTATCTTAATGTATTTTTTTTTAATTTTTACAATTATTTCTGATATTCTCTAATTTTGGGGATGATTCCACCCTTAAGTGCACTCAGGGGCGTTTTCTAATTCAACATGCTTATGTCAGTCGTGAGAATAAATTTTTCTTTGTATCAAGAATCATACGATAGAAAAATTCACATGGTAATAGTTTTATATTTATTGGTAATATTCAATTCTTCATTTTGGGCGTCTTTTCAACCCCTAAATAGGGGTGATTTTTGAAAATTTTCAAAAAACAAAGCTACGTTCATCTTAATTTTTTGCGACGAGTAATTTGAGACCAAAAACATATTTTTATCTATTCTCTTTAGTTCTCTGCGAATTGTGAAAAAACGGGCGATTTTTGCGGTCACTCTTTAACATATTAACCTCTTTGTAGATTACGAAAAGGCCTCCCACTGCCGGCACCCTCTTCAAGAACTCCATGCAGGCCCTCGTCCAGAACCTGCAGAGCAAAGAGCCCCACTACGTACGGTGCATCAAACCGAACGAAATGAAGTCGGCCGCGGCATTCGACGAGGAACGTGTGAGGCACCAGGTCAGCTACCTGGGTCTCGTCGAGAACGTCAGGGTGAGGAGGGCCGGTTTCGCTTACAGACAGAGATACGACAGGTTCTTGAAGAGGTAACGATGCTTCGAGAATGCATATTCGTGTATATTTGTGCGTTAACGACACTTTTTTTGTAGATACAAGATGATCTCTCAATTCACCTGGCCCAACTTTAGATCGGGATCGGAGAAGGACGGGGTGCGAGTGATAATGGACGAAAACAACTTTACCGATGACGTAAAGTACGGCAAAACGAAGTTGTTCGTCCGATCGCCGAAGACGCTGTTCGCTTTGGAAAACGCTAGGAACGCTTTGATTCCCGGCATCGTCACTTTAATCCAGAAAACTTGGAGAGGTAAGTGGCTTAAATGAACAATCGTAGTAAAATTGAGATCACAATTGAAACGTTTCAGGTTACGTAGCCCGTCAGCAGTACAAGAGGATGAAGGCCTTGATGGTGATGGTGAAGGCGTACCGACTAAAGAAGGCGAGGGAATACATAAACGCCCTCCAAAAAAAATTCGCCCGCGCGAGATCCATGAAAGACTACGGCAAGAGCATAATGTGGCCGGCTCCCCCGCCGTCCCTACGCGACACCACGAAGATGCTGCGTCAGATCTTCAACAGGTGGCGGGCGGAGCGGGTCCTCGAGAGGATACCGCGCAACGAGTGGCCCCAGATGAAACTCAAGATCGCCGCCGCCAGCGTCCTCATCAACAAGCGACCGGAGTACGGGGTGAACCGCAAGTGGGAAGGGAACTACCTCGCCACCCACATGGAGAACAACAACTACACGGTGTTCAACGAGGCCGTCAACAACCTCAGGAATACGAAGCACTTCAACGGCGTCCTGTTCTCGTCGTACGTCACCAAGTTCAACAAGTTTAATAAGGTGGCGGAGCGGGTGATGCTCGTCACGGACCAGGCGGTGTTCAAGCTGGACTGCGAGAAGTTCAGGAATATGAAGGAGGGAGTGGCGATAGGGGAGCTGACGGGGTTGAGCGTCAGCCCGGGTCACGACCAGCTCGTCGTGTTGCACTGTCCGGGCGGGAACGATCTGGTCGTGTCGTTGCACTGCCAGAAGCAGGAGGACAGGATCGGGGAGTGCGTCGGGGTCATTTGCAACAGATATTCGCAGTAAGTAGATTTCGGATTTTGTACTTGGTAATTATTTAAATACAGTAGGCCCTCCTGGAGATCGGACGATGCAAAAAAATCTTTTTTTTTTTAAGGAAAAAATTGAAAACAAAATAAAAACACTTGATAAAATACTTTTTGACAGAATAAACATCAATAAATATGAAAATGATGTACAGGGTGTTCCTAAATAAGTATCGCAATGGAAATCTCTTGAAAACAGAAACATTTTCCTCTTCCATTTTACTCTCCGGGCTTTCGTTTTTGAGATACACCGTGTCAACATTTTTTCTTTGTAGTTTTTTACCAATATCTTAGGAACCCTTCTCGAACTTGTTGGACGTAGAAAAATTGACATTTGACAGCAAATTCTGAAGCGTCAATGAATTTTACACAAAAAGAGTTCTCTTACCGTTTTCAAGAAAAATTACTTTTTATGAACAAAAACAAACATTTTTCTAACGTTTCGAAAATCTTTTGTAATTAGTAGAGTTCAAACACAAATTAACAAAAGGTGAATATAATATATTTAAAACATCAAAAATTAAACAAAATCTTACTTTTTCTTGAGTAAATAATAAAAAATAACAAAATTTCAGTTCTTTATAAAAAAAAACACAGCTCGTCTAAATATGAATTAATGCACAAATAACAGAGTTTCCCCCATTTTAACACAGATTTTCTATAAAATAGAGTTAATTTGAAACTCAAATTACTTTTTGTTGTGAAGAAATTTGTAATTTGCCGCTTTTGAACAAGCGGAATCGTAAATTACAAATTTCTTTACACCAAAGAGTTATTTGAGTTTCAAACTAGGTCCATTTTATAGAAAATCAGCGTTAGAATGGAGGAAAGTCTGTTATTTTTGCATTAATTCATATTTAGACAAACTGTGTAATAAAATCTATAAAAATGTATTGCTGGTTGCCTATTTGAAATATCCTGATTCTTGCTGTCCTATTATCATCATCGACAAATCTTTTTGTTGCCACATTTTACTTGGGATTATTCCATTGGATAACGTTCCTTTTCGAATGCAATTAATAAATATTAATAGAAAAAAATTATATATGAACATCAAACTTCTAGAAAAAATTAAATTTTGAAACAACAGTGTTTTAAAAGCATTTAATATGAGTAGATCAGTATAAATTGTTTTTCAAACTGTTTTTCAATTACGTCGCTGTTCATATTCAGGGTGATTCACAAACGGTGACCAAAAATTGAACCTCGTATTCTTTGGTAAATTTTAAGGGGTGTCTTCCCTATAATGTTCTTATCTAGGACGCTTCGTTAAAAAGATACAGGGTGTTAAACTTAAAAAAATGTTTTAATTTTTTTTTAATAATTTAAAAACTAGTTAATGAAATAATTTGAAATTGTGCACATGTATTTATAAACGTTCAAAATCTGGGGCTTTTCCCTAAAATATACATGCTCCAGTGGCGGAGATACAAGGTATCGGTGGCATATTTTTCTAAATAAAATAGTACGCCACTGCTTTACAATAACAACCGTGATATTTTCGGATTCGTCTTTCAGTTTTCTACAAATTACTACTGTCTTATGTTTTTTGAAAAGCCTTGATTTTTGAGTAAAATTTAAAAAACGAACTAAAAATACATTTACTTAAATGCCATGACCATGACACACCACTATCCATTCAGTTATTTATTCGAATGAAGAAGTTAATAACATTAGTCGATCATTTTAATGATTTTATTTGAGTTAATGCTCAAAAATACCTCCGTTTGCACAAACAGGCGCGAAATCCTATTAGTAACAAAACTGCAATTTGTTCGAAATTTATTGTTGCTTGAATCTAATGGAAAGCATTATTTATTCTTTCTTCTAACTGCTCGGAATGTCAAAGTTGCTATCGCAGCCCACTATATAATTTTAATCCTCATTTTACTGGAATATGGAAGTGTATTTTCAGATTATTTTTTAAGTTTTACTCGAAAATCCAGGCTTTTTTCGAAAAACATAGGGGCGTAGTAATTTGTAGAAAATTGAAAGACGAATCCGAGAATATCACGATTTTTACCGTAAAGCAGTGGCGTACTATTTTATTTAGAAAAATATGCCACCGATAGGAGCTTCAAAATTTTAGGAAAAGGCGTCAGATTTTAAATACATGTGCCCAATTTCAAATTATTTCACTTACTAGTTTTTAAATTATTTAAAATTATTAAAAATATTTTTTTCAGTTTAACACCCTGTATGTTTTTAACAAAACGCCCCAGATAAAAACTTTATAGGAAACACTCCCCTTAAAATTCACCAAAGAATATAAGGTTTAATTTTTGGTCGCCGTTTGAGAATCACCCTGTATATCTTCATGATAATTTCCCGTTTTTAGTGACTCAAATAAATCCCGTATCGCTTCCAGTTTGTGTTATCATCAACCTGCATCCTTTTCCAAAAGGTGCTTTTAATCCAGTAGAAAATCCAACTAAAAATGTTTCGTTCTCTTATTTGTTCTAAGTATTATCTTCGCAATACCACAATTTCGTCTTTTTCAACGAGCAATTAAAATATCGAAAATTCGTGTCACTCATTATTTTTCTGAGAACCTTATCAGAAAATTTAGGAACATCTCTTCAACTATTGCAGCTTGAATTTTCTTTCCCGTTGCTATTGCATTTCTAAAGAAAATTTTCCTATGTATGGAGTATTTCATGTCATTATTGACTATTTTTTTCTCTCTGGTGTTTCCACTTTTTTTCTTCTTTGGATTTACTTCTACACTATTCTTTATCGTACCTTCAACAGTAACAGCGGATACTTTTGTCAACGAACTACACATATCAACAGCTTCACTTACATTTGCATTAGTTAGACTTTCAAAAATTCATAACTCAAATTTGAAGCTGGAAAAACCATCTTGCGGAAAATGACATAATAATATGTAGTTTAATCTTGCGCAAGATGGTTTCTGTCCGATACATAGTTTTTGCACAATTGCGTTATAAACAAATTAGGGTCTTTTTTTGCACAGCGATTTATTATTAAAAATGGTCCGATTTAAATTCTGAAAACGGCGTCTGAAAGTAGACGACAAAATCTCCAATTTGTATATCTCGGATTTTTGTCCTGGGTAATGGGAAATATGCTAAAAATGCCCTTGAATGTCGCCCGAAACAATCGAAAGTACGCTCGAGCAACGAGCGGAGGACTCTGGAGGACTATTATCTGTCATTTTCCGCAAGATTGTTTTTCCAGCTGCAAATTAGACGGAGTTATGAATTTTTGAAAAAATTTTAGAGGTTTTTCCGGATTTTCTCTGTAAAAAATTAAGCGATCGGGTCGCACAAAAAAACATTTTCCAGGTTTTTTTATTCTCTACAAAAGCCCTATTGAGAGTAAGTCGATTCCATCATTACTTTTTGAGATATTAAAATAAAAATCAAAAAAATGTCAATTTTGTACAGTTTTTATTGTTTAAAAAATAATTGTTCACGACTTTGCTGGGGAAATCACTTGGGTTTTCATTTACCTACCAAGTATTTTTCAAAAGGAAATACATGAAATTTGCTGTAATATTTAAGTGTGAATCTTTATTGATTGGCCTAATCATTTAATACGAGACAAATAATATTGAACCGTTATAAAAATCATATATTTTATACGCTTTATCCATAAATTCGAACGCGAAATATACAAGATACGTATATTTCATTGAATGATTGCACTATTTAACAATTTCACGTGTGTTTTCGTATTAATTATATTTAGAAATATCATTTTTTGTTTTTATTTTACATAAATATCTATTACTAGCCGTTTACTGGGTATTGCAAGTAAAATTCACTGCTAGTTAGGGCACATAGTCGTTGTTTCCTGTAATACTAACACAAAGGAGTCTTGTCTGTGGCGTTAGATATCTTTGAAGTTTTCTGGCACGGACGAACATTAACGTGATTTGATAAAATTTAAAAAATAATAACAATTTGTTTGAATTAGCTCAATATCTTATAAATAGGGAAAGAAATAAGGGAGTTGATGATATAATTTTTTTTTTCTAAAGAAATTTAGTAAAAAGGGCAAAACATTGTTAGGGGTAGAAATACAATTCTTTTTGATTTAGTACTTTTTTATCTAATTTCTTCTAATCTTTTATATAATTTTTTTTCTGTTAATTCCGTACAAGAAAGGGGGCTATCTAATAAAACAATCCAAGTAATTTGATAAATCATAGATCAAGTTTTATCAGTTTACGCCAAATGTTTTGAGAAATGTCTGAAAAATATGTGATATAACACCCAGTATCTTGTACGCGGGAGCCAATGGCTGCACTGACAACTCGCCCAGTAATTGAAATCTTTTAAGACGGGAGCTTACTGTACTTTAGAAATTAACGACATAAGTGTGATATATTTTTTTTTCCTTTTAAGAATAAAAAATGCCGAACTGCCAGTCAAAGTGTCCAAGACGATATCGTGCTCGTTGGGCGGTAAACAGAGACTCATCAACATCCAAGTCTCGGCGGCCGAGCAACGACCCACCTTCAAAAAAGACGGTAGCAACGTCGCCTACGTGCTGCCTTCAAATTTCTCCATCCTAGAAAACGGCAACAACCACATAAAACAGTAGAAATCACCCAAAGAGAGTTTAAGTGCAACCGTACGTTTTATTCAATGCCGTCGCGTCTTGTAAATCTTAAATTGAGGAAATTATTAGGTTTAATATGGGGAACTTAGTGCCTTTTTGTTAATTTTCGCGTACTTCCACATGAGAGTATATATTTTTTACGTACTTGTAGGAACAAATTTACACTTTCGGACGTCTGCAGCAAAAAAAAAGGGGCGAACGTTCGTAGATATATCAAGATAAGTAATTACGATTTTATACAATGAAGTATAAGTTCAAATAGTATTAACCTTTACCAAAACAAGTAAAGCATATGAGAGGACGTTTAGATTCGTTTCAAAGCCTTCGAAATGTTTGTTATTCGCAGCTAGAGTTTCGGAAATGTGCAATTCTTTTAGTGGTCAAACTTAAAGTCGTTTGTTGGATTCATTTTGTTATCTTGTCTGCTTTATTTGTGAAACTAGTATCGTAAGAAGAGTCTGTGTTAAAAAAAATGCTTATTTTATAAAAGATATATTTTATAGGACGAACCGTTATATTTTTGGAGTGAATATAGGCACGTTCTACAGCTTTTGTACTTAAAATTTGTGATCTCCGCAAAAGTTTTTCCACACGAAGTTGAATCGGGGATGTTTTCACGTTCCCGCTACCGATTGCGGTTGCGGATCGCTGTTGTTATATTTTTTACGGTTGAAACAAGTCCATATGGCATTTTATTTTTTTTTTAAGCATGTTACGTGAATGTTGCTTAATCTGTATTTTTATAAGTACTCTTTTGAAATGATTTATAGTATTTATTGTTTTTCTCTTTTAGTGCCATTAATTATATATATACATACCTATATAGATTTTGTATCGGTCTAGATACAAACTTAGTCACGCTAAATATGTGCCTTAATAATAATTTTTAAAAGCACTCGTATTTCTTTTTTTCCTCCCCCCCCCCAAGTCCTTAATTGTAATGTGCTGTGTATTTCGCATAGTGTTCAGATGATATGTTGTATCCTACACTTGGAACGTTCTCTATCTTTACTTATCGTGTATAAAAAGGCCAACAGAGGGACTTCAAATCCTGTCCTATTTCGATTTCCATCTGAGACATGTCAGTGCTCGTCATAATTGTACAAGTATTGTACAACTTGCGAAAGTGCTATGGTATGACAAAATTCCTAAAATAAAAAAAAATCTATCTACCTGTTGGATATATCAAGGTAAGTGTAATCAAGTAGGGATAATCTAGATTTTACCAAAATCATTCTACTCCATCTCTAAAATCATACGCCCGTCGAATCACATTTTCCACACACCTTACCTGTCTCACAGTCTTTGAAGTTTAATCATTTCTTACTATTTAAAACACGTCACTGTGCTACAGTTCTTTAAAACGAACGTTAAAAAAAAAAACTAGTAACTATTTATTCATAACATAACGACACTTTTATTACAAAACATTAACAAATCCTAAAGTGCAAAAAAAACGAATTTATTTATTCAGGGTTGAATCTTTAAGAATGACTTGAATATGGCTGGTGTGGCGGTTATAAGCATTAATCCTACCGTGCGCCCTGTAGGTCCTCCGGGTCAGTATCGGTGCTTGACTCGCTTGAATGTGTAAAATGAAGAAATCCTCCGGGTCCTTTCCGTAGAATTCGCAATTAGCGATGGCGTTCCTTAAGAGGCCCTGAACACATTTCACAGCTTTTTCTACCCAGCGACCCTAGAAAATATCAGATTTACGCTTGATAGAATAAGGATATGATTTTATTTACGATTGTGGTTTTAAACTGTTTGGCCTGAGCGCATTTTCCGACGCCGCTTTTGAATTTCGTAAAGGGTACGCATTCTTTATGGGCGAGTACGTTTTTCAAGTAAGCATTCGCCCTTTTCAAAGGCATTTTACGTATAGCTCGGGCAACTGCTACGAGGTTCTTAAATTTCACTGTAAGGTTAGAAGCCTTGGCTTTAATAATTTCGCTTCCTTCCAGGTTTTTGAGAGAATAACGGTGAGAAGAGCCGTACTTAACCATTTTTTTAAATCGAGAAAATCTTTGTTATTTGTTAAACACTTTTAAAACAGTTGCTAATGGCGGTTTAGTAAAAACTAAAAAGTTACTAGTCCCTCTACTAGTAAAATTTCATTAGCTGGGGATTAGATCTAAAACAATTTACCGTCCAATTATATGCACCTAAACAATGACAGATATAGTACCAATACAGACAAATATTTTACCGATTTCAGTAAGATTCTACTGCGATTTAAATTTGTAGTTAAAATTATGTCAGATCAATTAAACACAAAAATGAATGCTCTTCATTTATGCTTTGTGGTGTTCTTAAAATCACAGATATAGCAATACGATGAATTTAAAGTTGTACAAGGTAAATAGAAATATGGGGACTACAAGTTACTTTTTTTTTAATTTTCGCTTTTAATATAAAGTATTATTTTCATGTTCTGTCGTCTAGTAATGCCGATTGCCGATCAGATCTGTGACGTCATTATAGATCTACTCTTGCTGAATTTCAGAGCAGAGCAGAACGGGGCAAAGCAGAACCATAGAAAATATAGTACTATATTTTCTATGAGCAGAACGGTCATAAACGCTGTACATTTAACGTCAAAATTTTTAACCTAAGAAATGTCAATATCAAAATAGCCAAAAAATTTACAGTAAATGATGTGATGTTCAAAATAAGGTCACAATGAGTGAAAACCTGACAGTTTTAAGTTATAATGAAAGTCTGCTAAGACAATCGGACGTGGAACTCCTGAAAGGACCTTACTGGTTAAATGACACAATAATCTCATTTTATTTCGAATATCTGGAAACTGAGCGATTTCGAAACATACCCTTTCTTTTATTCGTGTCCCCTGAGGTAACCCAATGCATAAAAGTGTCACCGCAACGAGAGCTACCCGTATTTTTGGATCCTCTGTTGAACTCAACCTTGAGAGATTTTATTTTCTTTGCTTTAAACGATAATGAACTCATAGACTCTTCGGGAGGTTCCCACTGGAGCCTTTTAGTGTTCTCAAGACCTGAAAAAATGATGTTCCATTACGATTCTTCTAACGGCAGTAACGATATGCAGGCTATTGAATTGGCGCATAAGCTTTTAAGATATTTTTCCCTTCCGATTCAAGACAAATTTGAGAATGTGCCTTGTCTTCAGCAAAATAACGGTTATGACTGTGGAATTCATGTTTTGTGCAATTCTGAAAGGTTAGCAAGTTTTGCGGCTCATTACGAAAAAATCAGAGGCTGCCCCAAGATAACTCATGAAATGGTAACACAGAAGAGATGGGAGATCTTGCATATTATAGAACGGTTAAAACATAAACATCGGTGATTTTTACTAAAAGAAATTAAATTAATGAAAATGTAATTCATGTATAATAAATTTTAAATTATTGACTGATATTGTTCATAAACATGAGTTCTTTAATTAATATAATTACAAAAAAAGACCTACTTACAGAAATCAAAAATATTTTACAAATAAAAAAATGAGAGTACCTATAGCTATTTTCTATATTTTTTTAAAGGGTCAGAATTGAAAAATTCCCTGTATGTCTTAGTATTGAAATGTTATATTTTAAAAATTTCTAGTAAATTGAGCCTGTGTAGGCTTTTGCTGAATTTCTCATAATTTCTGAAATGATAGCAAAAAGCAGTTGAGATGTCGCAAGGTCGATTTTTTTATGAAAATTTAAAACTGCAGCTTGGTTTCTTGATTTGTTTAAGAAATACTGGGTTATTTTCATATTTGATTGAATCGTTCATGTACATGATACCTACTTAGGCAATTATTATGTATCGTGTATCTGACGCATCATGATGAAAAAAAAAATAGTTGCCTCGAAGTCGGACCCCGAAGTCTGTCTCCGGAGCCTGCTTTCAGAGTCGGACTCCGGATATTCGGAAGGTTTATATTGTATTTTATATTTATTTTAAAAAATTGCACAGATAAAAGTGTTATATAAATTTTTTTTTAATAAATGCTGGATCGTGAATGTACCGCTTTTTTTTCATCCTGTATTTTTTAAACAATGCCTATCCTAATCATATATCTAGCTCAGACGTACGGCAGTAGTTGTAATTTATATAATTGTCCGCGTATATCGCAGAACATTCCATATGTATTTAACTTAACCTAACGTTATGCTGTCAAAGTTTAAAAAATAAAATAGCATGTTTATAATACTAAAAACAATTTTTAAATTGCTCATTCCTATATAACCTACAATATTAAAGATTATATCAATTGTTATTGATTGATTAATGATTATATAGAAATATAGATATGCGATGGTACTAGTAGTTCTAATGTTGATTTTTGATGTACTAGAGCTACTGAAACATATGTAGCTGTAATAGAATTTTTTTACGTACGTCGTAGAATTGAAAATATTTTTATATTGTATATTTTTTAGAGTTTTTTTGTGAATTGAAAAGTGAATTAAATATTGCGGCAAAAATTGTTTAAAAATACTTGTGACATATTTTTAGAGCTCGACTCAATCTATGGCTCGACACTTTGGTGCATGAATAAGGTGTAGACGCTTTTGCACCGGAGTCGTTTGTTTATATGCTTTGTGCTCATGTTAATGTTTTGTTTTGAACATTTGAGAGAGGACTATCGAGTATATTTCATGCGTTAAAAATGTCTCGCCGACTCAGCTACGCCTATCAAATTAACAAATTTATTCAACGTTTCCCTGACTTATGCGTCGACGGACCAGTAATAAAATGCCGAGTTTGTGAAATTAATTTGTTGGGCTGGAGTGCCTATCAGTGTAAAAGACATGTCGAGAGTCAAACTCATAAAAAAAATCGACTATTACAGCTGCCATACTGGGTATTTTTATATGACCTGATTTTTATGTTCAGTGTATGTAATATTCCGTTGTGTGTTGTGGACAATGAACAATTTAGATTATTTTGGCAGAAATATGTGCCTAAATGGCCATTACCCCAAAGCCGTCGGTTGTATCGTCACTTGCAGCGGGTAAAAGAAGAAACTGAAAATAATATGCTTTCGGACTTACGTGGAAAAAAGTTGTGGGTTACCGTAGACGAAATTGCAGACAGAAAAAATAATAAAATAGGGCATGTTCTAGCCCGCATCTTAACGCCTGAAAAAGCAAATAAACCATATTTACTCGCAAGTAAAAGGTTGCCAAAAAATAATGCCGAGTCTATACAACAGCTGGTAACGCAAGCACTCGAAAAATTTTGTATAGAAAAAAATAACGTGTTAATGTTAGTCACGGGCGGAGCTGCTTATATGGCTAAAGCGGCTGTGCTTCTTAAAAATGTGTACCCTAATTTATTACATGTGACTTGTATGCTTCAGGTTCTTCACTGTGTGGCAGAAGTAATTCGTAACAATTACCAGGCCGTGGACAACCTAATATCAAGTACAGCAAAGATTTTTTTAAAATCCCCACAGCGAATTAAAGAATTTCACAAATCGTGCCCAGGAATTTCCGAACCTCCTCAACCAATATCAACGAGATCTGGAACTTGGCTAAAGGCATGTTTCTATTATAGTAAATATTTTCATGACGTTAAATCTGTGATTTTCAAATTTGATCCCAGTAAATCCCATGCTATCAGAGAATGTCAACAGATGTATGAAGACCCCGAAGTTGTGGAGAATTTGCATACAATACAAGATAAATACAGTATTTTGCGAAACGTTATCGATCAATTGGAAGATGGTTCGATACCACTAGATCAGTCTTTCCAAATAGTTGATAACGTAAATACGGTGTTGCAAAACTTAACAGATGTCCCTGGAACTGAAGCCACATCGAAATTTAATGACTTACTTCAAAAAAATCTAGACCTTCCGAAACTAGGTAACATTTTGCAGTCTTTACATGAAGGAAATGCTGCGAATGACCTTGATCAGTACTTTAAATATGCAAACATTACGTCTCTAGATGTAGAACGTTCCTTTTCAAAATATGTAGCACTATTCGCCGATAAACGTATGTGCTTGAAAGAAGCCACAACAGAAGCAATTCTGATGATACAGACGTATGCGATGGTCCACCATTCACGTGCAACGAAATGAGACGCTGGTAAGTTTATTTTAATACGAAATTTCCCTCGATCATAGTCATTTTATTAGAGAAGATAGCATTATTCAAAAAACAAATGTGTTAATCAATTTTGATTCAAATGCAATTCATTGTATGTAACCTGTGGAGTTGTTTCCTGCAATATCTTTAGCTAAAGTTTATTTCGCCTAATCTGAAAGAAGAAATAAGTCGTAGATTAGTAGATCACTTTCTGCCAGTAGGTACAAAGCAATGTTTTGTGTCGGTAGGCATTGAGTGAAAATGACATTTAAGATATTTTGTAGATTATATTTCACCTGTGACATACTGATGAGAAGTAATAAGTTCAAAATCAGACATTCTGGCGGTTTAGTCCCACCGTCCTGCGCACATACACTAATTCCACTGGTGATAAAGCACGGTTGATGGAAGATTGGAAGAATGCAACTTCAAATGTGTGCAATGTTGAAGACTATAATATACATATGTAAAAGAAATTAATAATTTAATTTATGATTGAAATATTTTTTTGTTCTGTATGCATTCTTTATAAACAATTTCAAATGTTGCAAAAAGGTTCTACTAAGTATGTAGTTGCTGTTGAAATTTATGTAATAATGACAGTAATATAACCAAGAGACTGTACGATAAGGCTAATATGTGTTAAACATTATCAGTTGCTTGGAAATCAAGTTTGTAGAATATGTTACATACATTATTCTAATTGAAGGGCCTATGCAAAAAGTCCCTAAGTCACATTTTACCAGTTTTGAACTAATGGTGCCATCTGGTGTGAAATTTCCTGAACTATCCATACAGTGGATTTGTTTTGGCATAAAATGTCCCTAATAGTCCAATTAACTAAGCCTTTAAATCGAAATTTTGTCAACTTGGCTGAATTTTTGATATGAGTTAGTTTAAGGTATATTATAACAATAAGTGAGAGTAATTTTTTGTTCAACCCCCGGCCAAGGGTGGAAAAAGATAAAACAAAGTGCTTCTTCAAGATAACTCAAAAATGGTAAGAGCTAGAAAAAAAAGTTTTTCATGAAAGTTGTAAAGCAGACAATTCTACATAAAAATGGTCACTTAGCTTTTTCTTGTACTATTAAAATTAACAGAGTTTAGGGAGGCTAGAAGTTAAGGGAAGATTTCAGAAATTTAATTTTGTTAAATCATTAAAATTAACGATTAAAAATTTGATTTTTTGTTATAACTTTCTTATTAAAAATTAAAAAATATATCTATTTCTCTGAAAAGAAAAGTTACATATTTTAGAGTAGATTGAAAAAAAAAATTACAAAATTCAATCATTTTTCTGTTTATGATTTTTTTTAAATTTCTGAAATCTTCCCTTTTTGAGTTATCTTAAAAAAGCCCTTTGTTTTATCTTTTTCCACCCTTGGCCGGGGGTTGAACAAAAAATTACTCTCACTTATTGTTATAATATACCTTAACCCTTTGAGGACTACTGGTTAGCAGTGAAAACCATATTACTAATATCCACCCTATTATTTTCCTACCGGTAGTACGTTCTAACCACAGTGTTTAATGTGTTGCCTACAGATCATTTTATTGTCCTTGCGCATTACATCGATGTTTGTTCGTCTTTAGCGACATTTATGATGCTGCACTGATAGCGCTAAGAGCGTGTTTGAGGTTACCTATTAGTTTTGAATAGAGATGGGCTAAACTGCTCTTTTTGCGGAGCAGTGACATCTGCTACTGCTCCGGCAACAGAGCAGTGACAAATAGCTGCGATTTTTCGGAACAGCTCCTGGTAGCGCGCGCATACATTCTTACCGTGATATGTTCCCTTATTTCCGCGTCAGAGTTCATAAATCGACACCTGTCGTGCTTAATAGCGGCTAGCGTTAGGGATACTTTCGTTATGAGCTGTTTTTCAAGCATGTGCCAACTTTCGTTGATTTAGCTCAATTTATTATTTCGCTTTTGCATTATTTATTTGATTTGATATAGCGTAGTGATCTGTTATTTTGTCCTAAGTTACTACTAATAAATTTTTATTACAAATAAAATTGGATATGGATAAACGAAGAAAATCTTTCCTGTGGAATTTATTTTTATCAACGCATGAAAGTAAAGCTTGTTGTAATATATGCAAGCAAAATATTTGTTATAAATCTTCAATCACCAATTTAAAAAGACACATAGAACGACGACATCTTACAGTGAGTACAGTGCCGGATATTCAAAATTTTTCCGCGAGTGCAACAAAAACAAATGAACAGTCGCATGTTTTTTGTTGTGATTTTGTAAACAAAAACTTTTAAAATATTTGTAGAGCAACAACCAGCAATACACGCATTGCTGTAGTCGCTGAAATACAATGTCCTTAAATCAAATGCGACTGTATTATATGTTTAGTGTGTGACACTGTGACTAATTCTGCTACTGTGCCGGCTGAGCGAGAATCTGCTCTGCTGTGGCCGGCACACCTAAGCTGTCTCTGGCTCTGGCGCTAGTAAATTGCACTTTGCAGTAAACGCTCCGAAAAATCACTGCTTCTTTTGTCGCAGCGGAACAGTCAGCTCCAGTGACAACTGCGGAACAGTGCCAAAGTAGCAGACAGTAAAAGAGCAACACATCTCTAGTTTTGAATTCTTTCATTAGCTTTTGTTATATTTTTGCATTAAGAATAGCAGGTAAGTGTTCCAACATATGCATATTTATTGTCGGTTGTAAAAAATATTCTGTATTTCTCTAAATGAGCTTGACGTAAGCAGATTTTTGTGTGGTTTCCCATGGTGACCACTAGGAATATATAATACTTTAAAAAAAAAAATTATTTTCCTTAATATTCCTAATATTAATAGATTGTATGAAAGTATTTTTAATCCTAAAATTTGACAACAAATGTGGTGGAGCATATTTTGTAATTTAATTCCTTGCATTTCAGATAATATGGCTTGCTGGAAATTGTCTGATAACGAAAATATGGATCCAGGTCGTGTTTTCGATCTTCTAGACGAAATACCGAGCGATAATGAATCTCTTGTAGAAGATCTAGACGAGGTTATGAATGATGAATTGCCGACGCCTGATGCTTCCAATAATGGTGAAGTTTTTGACATCGAAAATATGGACATAATTATCGAGGATAATGACATGATTTCCAATAACGACTTACACTGGGACAGCGATGATGATATCCCACTCGCCAGACGACCTGATATATTCCTGCCAGATTACTGGTCTGACGATGTTTCCAACATTATGAAACCAAGTGCTTTCGCAGAAGCAACTGGTCCGGATTTGCCTGATGATATTGAGACAACGACAAACGTATTCTTGCATTTGTTTCCAGAAGATTTGATCACCCACATTACATTCCAAACCAACCTATACGCATTTCAGAGACATGGTGAAGGAAGAAATTTCAAACCAACAACTGCAAAGGAGATTAAAATCTTTTTGGGAGTTAATCTCCTTATGGGTTTGAAAAAACCACCAAGCTTCAAAGATTACTGGTCTTCTCAGGAAGAAATGAGAGATCCTTTTATTAGTTCCGTTATTAGTAGAGATAGATTTGCTTGGTTGCTGAGTAATATTCACCTTAATGATAACGCAGTTCAACCACAAAAAGGTGAACAAAACTACGACAAGCTATATAAGGTAAGACCTCTACTCTCTAAGCTTCAAGAAACATTTATGTCGTCCATGAAGCCTAGCGAGTTTCAATCCGTGGACGAGAGCATGATAAGATTCAAAGGGCGTAGTAGCTTCCGCCAATACATGCCAATGAAACCTATCAAACGAGGCTACAAAGTTTGGGTTCGAGCTGATTCAACAGGATACATGTGCGAATTCCAAATTTACACTGGCAAGGCTGATCAAGTAACAGAAAAAAATTTGGGCCATAGAGTTGTTATGGATCTCACTCGAAAATTGGTAGATAAAAATCACAAGGTGTTTTTCGATAATTATTTTAATTCTGTCCAACTTCAGCGAAAGTTACAATCTGATAAAATACATTCTTGTGGAACTATTCGAAAAGGGCGTAAACACTTCCCCGAACTCAAAACAGACAAAGCCATGAAACGTGGAGAGGCTGATTGGCGTGTTTCAAACGATGGAATAGCTGCCCTCAAATGGATGGACCGCCGAAGTGTCCTACTTCTAGGGAACTACCATGATCCCTCAATTATGGAGACTACTTCCAGAAAAAAGAAAAATGGTTGTGCGGAAGAGATACCGTGTCCAAGGATGATTCGGGATTATAATACTCATATGGGGTATGTTGACCGTTTTGACATGATGAAGAGCCATTATGAAGTTGACAGAAAGGCTCATAAATGGTGGCATCGGATTATTTTTTACTTCCTTGATGCCACCATAGTTAATGCCTTTATTCTCTTCCAACAAAGATGTGATTGCAAAACCCTTACACTAAAACAATTTAGAATGTCTGTGTTGCGAGGACTTATAGGTATTGTTGAACCTGCTAAGTCCGGAAGACCTTCTTTAGAACGACCTCCAAGTAACTTCAAAAAGGTTGTTCCATACGAAGTACGTTATGGTAATGCTCTTCATATGCCGAAAAGATCAACCTCAGTCCGGTGTGCTAAATGTAGTACCCTCAAACATGTTCATAGAACGATTTGGAAATGTACGACCTGTCAAGTGGGGCTATGCCTAAATAAAGACAGGAACTGTTTTGCCCTGTTTCACATAAAATAAAAGAATCATTTTGCGTCATTTGTTTCTTCATTTGTCAAGTTGCAATTTTGCAAAGTAAACTTGATACCTGTATTATTCAGTTCCTAGTGGTTAGCACTAGTAACCACGTCCTGCAGGATAATCCTGTATATTTTTTGTTTATTTAAGTGATATTTCAACTTATGGTTATGTTAATAAACACATTTCTATTCAAAAATTCCCATTATTTTTCACTTCACAATTTTCGAATTAATTCCGGCCTCAAAGGGTTAAACTAACTCATATCAAAAATTCAGCCAAGTTGGCAAAATTTTGATTTAAAGGCTTAGTTAATTGGACTATAAATACAATATTTAGCATTTGACCGTGTCACTACATCTATCAAGTTTTATGCAAAAAGTGCCTATGTGTTAGAAAAATCGATATCTCAAAACTTAAAAAAAGTCACTTAGGGACTTTTTGCATAGAGCCCTTCAATTGTAAAAATATATACAGGGTGACCCATTAAATGTCTTAGGTAGGTCTATCAATTTACAGGTCTACAACTTTTGTATTTACAACCGCGTATAAATTGATAAAATTGTCTGCCCTTTGCAGCATCCGAAGCAATAAATATCTATCGTGAAATTGTAGGATTGCATTGCTTTTCTTCAAATAAAAAAAAAAAAAATTAAAACAAGTAGAAAATATTAAAAATGTGTTTTGAAAAAAAAAAAATACTTTTTGATGGATATAGTGAGTAGCAACAAAATATCTGACAATGTCTAATTAAACTTAAACTTTCCCTTACCCTTTTATTCATATTTAGGTACAATGTTTGTATTATTCTGTTTTGTAACAAAAGACATAATAAATACATTTATTTTTTCAATTCTTATTTTATTTCCATTACCAAACAAAATTGGAAATGTAATGAAAGCTTTTTTTTAATTTATGGTGGTGCACAAAGTTTACCGTCACAAGACAACAACAAAAAAATTGCGCATACAAAATAACTAAGTAATATAATATCATTGGGTCAGTTCTAGCTACATTTAAATGGAGTTTATTACTATTAAACCAGTTCTCGACGTTTATATGTATTTCAAGAATGTCAATTACGTTAAAAAAATTTCTGTTTTATAAATACACTAGTATTATCATCAAATTTTGTAAATTTTTGTCCAATTTTTTTGTTGAAAATTGACAAAACTAACAAAAAGTTCTCAAAATTCCATTAAAATTTAATTTAAATCTGTATATTTCTCTTTTGTTATGGAGAGGAAGGAAATTTTTTATAACTAAATCTACTTTCATCAAGAACTTTGATTTGATGAAACTTTGACATTATTTTATCAATATTTTGAACTACATTCGCAATTCTTTTTAGTCACTAGTGTTGAAAATGCCGAAGTTATCGGCTGCTGTGCTAGAAAGTCGTATAAGTGGTGTGGAGGTAGCGATTTCGATCTGAAAGCAAAATGGTCGTTTTCCCGCATTATTATTTACATATGTTTTCTAAGAATATGCAGGTTTACTGTTTTCAAGATTTTCAACTTTTCTGAAAACCAAAAATAGATACACAAAAACTAATAATGATCCCATCTAGTTCAGCGAGCCGAAATACTTACAGTTCCTCTCTTAAATAGAAAATAAAATTTTTAAAATTTTCGGGGATTCAAGGATTTTCTCAAAAATTTTTAGGTCTCAGAAAATTCTGAAAAAATTCGGGTGGCCTATAACGGCCTTGATAAATCCAAAATTGCACTCGGTTACTGTCTAGTTCCTCTAGTTTACGAGATTTTCAATATTTTCCCTTAACCTGTTCAGCGACCCCAGTTGCGTACAAAATCGCGCCTATAAAGGCACTAATTTTTTGACAATTTTGTGCTATTAGAAATACATCATTACAATCATCGGCGTAGCTACAATTTTTGCTTGGAGTGGGTCCAGAGTTGCAAGCTCTATAGAGCCTCTAAAAAAACCTTACGCAATCAGCAACTTGCCGAATAAAATTTCAAAAACTTGAACACGTTTTGATTTCATTCTAAAAAAGGTCATATTATCTAATTCATCTGAATTTAAAATTAATGATTTTATAGATGTTTATACAGGATGTTTCGGTTTATATTTTGATTGTTACTTCATAAGATGTTGATATTTGAAAAAACCTCTTTTATAAAATATTTCCGATTTTGATGAAATTATATTTAACGATTTGTCTGATTAAAATTAAACATTTACTTTTGTTTATAAAAGTTTATTTAGAAAAAAAATCCTATTTTATTCTAAACACGGACCATTTTTGACTTATTTTTGGTTTTTTAAATCAGGAACCAAGCACCGGAGATTTTTTCAGGACTTTTTCCCCGGAGTTGTGCATACAACAGCTGGTACACATTTGTTTATGCTCAAAACGCGACTGGTCGCAGCTAATAATATTTTGCTATTGTTTATTACAGTATTTGTTTTATAGTCAAAGCTCTACTTCCAAAGCTTCGGTGCGTTTAATTCCCGACAATTATTAGGGAGCCTGTTTAAATTGAAACACGTATTTTTTATGATTTCTTATACGGTCTTAAAATAACCGTTTCTACAGTTTTTTTTTTCAAAAATAGGGAACAATATTGTAAGTAATACTAATTTTAGAAACTAATTGCAATATCAATATTATAATCAATATAAGGCCAAATGTAAAAAGTATTAATTCCACAAAATCATATGAATATTATAAATTTAGTGCTCTAGTCTACGACATACGTTAGTAGTTCTAATGTTTATTTTTGACGTTGTGCTGTAGGTACAATATACACAAATAATTTTCATAGGCCGTGCATGTATCTATTTTTTTCTATAGTGATGGTAAGGAAATATCACCTGTTTCGACTTTTTTCTAGACAGAAAACCCAAAAACTGTTTTTTCTATTTATATACTCGATAAATATTAATTTTGTCAAATTTTTCAATACGTAAAAACAAAATTATATTACAATTATATTGGTACAGGGGCAGTGGAAAATAAGGCCAGTTTTATGCAAATAGTAAAGAATATCTTTATTATAAAATTTATAACAATAATTATAAAAAAATAATTCACAATCTCAACATTTGACTTATTTTTTGTTTTATAAATAGACAAGATTACATATACTTAATATTTCTATAAACCTGAGAACACGCATTACACAGATTTAGTATAAAAGTTGTATATAGTAAATATATATATATATAGTACAGCTATTTTCTTACTATCTATCACATGAAGTTTAGCTTGTGCACGTTATCACCACAAAACACGTGTAGCATAAAACAATTTAAGTAATATACAGACAAAAAAAAATGTAATAATACCGATCTAATGGTCTACGTATGAAATTTATCAAAAAAAAAATAAAATATATATAAAAAATATATAATAAAATATAAAAATAAACTGCATTAAAATTATTTTCTTGCAAATGTTTAACCAGATATTAGCGATATTTTATCTGATTCAGGTTTATTCCTCAATATCGACACTAAGATGTACATTTTTATTAACGAGTACGTTTTCATAATATACAGCGCGCAAAACAAAATAAATTTGATGGAACAGCGAAAATCTATTTGAAACATTCTGTGGACCAATATTTTTTGTTGTCTCCGTTATTATTTGAGACGTAATTAAATTAAAGTGTGCCGCTTTGTCGTAAGGATTTAGAAAGTTAAAGCGTGACGGTGTCAACAATTAAAAATTGACGATAAGACGAGTAGGCCACTTAGAAACCATCATCACTTACTCGTCTCGTTTCTCGACACCGAAAACATGGTCAGAAAAATACAGAATGACATAGATCAGGAAAAGATCGTCCGATTTTAAGTATAAGTCTTTAACTGATTTTCTTCTTCGATTTTGTAACCGATTACTTGTTACGAATTTTTCTATTATTGCAATTTTTTCAAAAACTGCATTTTAAATTTAATTGCGTATAATTAATAACAGTAATGACGTAAACAACAAAAATGCCAGTATTCCCTTTCACGTTCGTGAATATCGACTTTGAATATTCGCTTTCGTAATCGCAAATATCGAAAATGTAACACGTCATGTTGAAAATCGTAATTTCATTAAAAATTTCCATCTCAAATCATTACTGAGGAACAAACCTATACAGGGCCATTTTGAATTCAAGTGGCACAAATGAATGAATCTACAGCTAAAAAGAAGACGTTTTGCATAAAAATTACCTTAGTAAAATTTTACCCCTTAGGAGATACGGTTTCTCAAAGTTTCCAACAAAATATGGAATTGCGTCTGTAATTTGAAAACTAAAAAAGGTACATTACTCAAATTTTACACAAGGTTTATACTAATGCATGTACAAAAGCATATCCTTAGTTTTTTTTTGCTACAACTTTTTTATTTGACAAAAATTGAATATACAAAAATACGTGTCAGTTAGCCTGGTTCATTTCAAAAATTTTTACCTCAATTACTTTTTTGCTTTAAAACTAACAGTTTATTAACAAAAAAAATAAATTAATTTTCATTCGCATTAAACTTATTTCTGATTACGCGATTTTTGTCAACGAAAAAAGTTGTCGCAAAAAATAACTTAGAGGATGCTCGTTTCAACCCCGTCTAAGGGGCAGAACATTTCAAAAAATCATTGAGAAGTTAAGTTGGCACATGCATTAGTAGAAAATTTGTGTAAAATTTGACTAATGTACCTTTTTTGGTTTTCAAATTACAACCGCTTTTTCATATTTTTTTTGGAAACTTTAATACGTTGTATCTCCTAAGGGGTGAACATTTTCCCAAGGTCATTTTATGCAAAACGCATTTTTTTGAGCTGTAGATTCACTGGTACCATTTGTGAGACTCCTTTTGAAAACACCCTGTATAAAAAAAATGTTGGCGAGATGAGACCAGCCATTCACAGGAAATTCATTCTACATCTTGCTTTTAAATAGTTTTTATAAGAATTTTAAATGCAACATCCTCGTCTTCGCGAAAATTGGCTTTGTATTTTTTTTTTCAATTTAAAAATGCAATTAAAGAGGTAGTACATATTATTAGGAAAAAAAAAAACCATACCAACATACTCTAAAGTACTAGACATTTTGCAGTTTCATTACAATTATTTGGCACACGACGGAAACTTTTGAAATAAACCGAAAGGTAAAACGTAAACCAACCACAAGCTTTTTAATACACAGAAATTCCGCGACTTGGTTAAATTCATTAGCATGACGAGAAGTGAGAGTAACCACAGAGGAACCGATTTTGAGGAAATTCGGGTATAGGCACGGGAAGTTTTGGCGACCGTCGATAGACGATTTTCTTTGGATCCTGTAGATACTCTTTTCCAAACAAAAATTGGTAGTTCGGATTTTATTTGGATGTAACTTCAAGTGGGGGTCAATTTTTTAGAGGCTCACAGTACGTGAAACGTTTTTTTTTAAATAAAATAATCAAGTTATAAAAATTCTTGTCTACTCCGTCACTGGACAGCGCCCTTGTTACTTTTTTTAATCAATTCAATGAAACTTTGACCTAGATTAGTTAACTACGGAATATCAATACACTTGACGACATCAGGGTGGGAAGTAGATAAAAAAAAACAAACGATTGACGTAAATTTGGGATAAAAAATTTTCGTTTTAAAGTTTTGCAAGATGTTTTGTAATTTTACGACACCGTAAAAATAATTATATTTAGCTGGAATGGAAATAGAATAAATTTTTAGTTTACCGAAATGTCTTGTGTAATGTTAGTGCATAACTTTACAAGTGTGTTTGTGCGTCTTCATTGTTACATTTAAAAAAAATTAAGTTTTCAAGACGTGTTTCGAGGAAATGAACTGACGATACGTGTTAAAGTTCAAAAGTAGCCTCTTAATAAACATGACCCCCACTGGAAGTAATGCAGGTACAAGGAAATGTGCTTATTTCGACAGTAGATACGTCGAAATCACATTGGACCTTAGGAAGGCGGACGATCAACTCTAGATCGACCACAAGAATGAGGGAATAACAAGAACAGGTTCCTCTATCTCTACAAACGGTTAAGCCACATGTATTTAATAAATATTTGGTCTATCAACATTTCTGTTGACTTAATGCTCCACTTCAGGCTTCATTAAATCGACCCAACGCACAGTGGGAAGTATTGGACAAAATTCTCACCACTCGCCAATTTTCATCGTCTCGTCGTGATTCTTTTTTCAATAATCTCTTGGTAATCTGAATTTTCATATTCCGGTGAGGTTTTTTCGAAAAACTCTTTTTTAATGCTTAGGTTGCGCCCCAACGTCAATGTCGAAGAAAAAATTTTTAAATACTCGATGTTCAGTTGTAGAAAAAAAATGTTTAAAAAGTATCTGCTATTAATAAAATTGATTATGATGACCCTTGATGATATATCTGATGTTTTTTCTTAAAAAACCTAACCTCAAAATTATTAATTCTAACCTAAAAGCCTTAAACGAAATTTATATCGGAAAAAAACTTTTTTCCAATGTAAATTTCCAAAGCACATTTTAAATTTTGTTTAAGGCTTTTACGTCAGAATTAATAATTTTGAGGTTAGGTTTTTGAAGAAAAAACATCAGATATATCATCAAGGGCCATAATAATCAATTTTATTAATAGCAGGTACTTTTTAAACATTTTTTCCTACAACTGATCATCGAGTATTTAAAAATTTTTTCTTCCTTCGACATTGAAGTTGGGGCGCTCCCTAAGCGTAAAAAAGAAAGGGTTTTTCGAAAAAACCTCACCAGAATATGAAAATTCAGATGACCACGAGATTATTAAAAAAAAAATCACGACGAGACGATGAAAATTGCCGAGTAGTGAGAATTTTGTCCAATATTTCCCACTGTGCGACGGGTGAAATATTTTGAACGAAAAAGAGATTGCTACTGAGATTTTCCCGAAGAAGCACTGACTTAGTAAGTCTTACCGCAAAAAAAAATTAAGGATAACCCAAACATTTCCTCGGCACGTTTTCGAACAAAGGTTTTTCCAAAGTTATATTTTCTACAAAAACAATTGTAATAAAAACAATTTCCAGAAGAACTTCGCTTTGCTGTCGCACTACGTTGCGATAAAGGCACGTTTAGTTTTCATCGTAACTTTGTGCTACGCACCCAGTAAATTCTTCAATATATTTTTTAAATCACCCATTTTAATGCCCTTCAAACATAATGCCGAGGAAATCCGCAGCCCGCATAGTAACGTTACGACACAAACGTGAAAAAAAATTAAAAAAAAAACCTAGGCTTTAATGGCGGGGGGGACCCATCCCCCGAAGGCCTTCTCGATCTCCCCTGCCACGGCGAGACACAGCCTGTCGTTACCCTCCGCTGCGATCACCTGCACCCCGACGGGCAGGCCGTTCTTGTCCAGCCCCATGGGGCAGTGCGTGGAGGGCAGCCCCAGGACGTTCACCACGGCGGTGTACGAGAAATTAAACGGTTTTATGAGGGGTTCGTTGTGGTAAGGGGCGGCGGTGGGGTGGGTCGGGTACAGAAGCACCCCGTCGTCTCCCAAGAGATCGAGGAGTTCCCTGCGGAACTCGTTGCGCTCCTTGACGAGGTACTCGTATTTCTCGTCACCGTACGAGCAACCGCCTTTCTCGGCCAGGCAAGTCATGATGCCGATGAAGGTGTGCTCGGAGAGTCGTACGGTCCACTTGGCGAGTTCCAGCCAGGGGTTGATGGAACCGTCGAGGTTGGCCAGCTGTTCCTGGAAGGACGGGCCGTTGGGGGATTTCATGTTGGCGAACCACATGGGGCCGCTCTTGGAGAAACGCTTGTACGAAACCTGCAAATTCAATAGCAGCGCGATTAGGCAAGGTGGTGATTTTGAGGTAAAAAAAAATCTAAATAATAATAATAATCTTTACTGAAATAGATTTATGATATGCCACATTCAAAATTAAACTTACAAGGTGTGAAATAGATAAATAAACAACAGTTATGATAAGAAATAATGTCAATGTAGAATAAAAGTAACTTTAGCCCCAGAACACTTCCTTGAGGTGTTCCATATTTATTTATAACACAGGACAATGAAATGTTACTGACCTAAACCAGAAACAGGACTATGTATATTTTCCTGAAGGTTTTCAGCGCACTGAATATGAATCTGATCTCAGAATTGCTCCATCATATCACATTTTACAGATATCCTAACCTTAAAAATGCAAAAAACACGTTTTTTTTTCACTATATTTAAGGCACAAAATCATTATACAGCTTCTCAAAGTACTACTCTTCTTTTTTAAAATCCATTTTGAATTATTCGAATTTCTTTTCCTCTTCATGAAATCATTTATTGAATTATTTTGGCATATTCGTTGATATTCGGAAATTGAGAGAAAAATCAAATTATAGCTACCTAAATTCCCACTAGTTCTTTAGGTGTTCGAGGTTACAAACTGAAGTCAGAATTACAAAATTCAAAATCACATTTTTTTTATTCCATCCATCATATTGGATCCGCTATTTTGAATTTTGTAAATCTGACATCAGATTTGTAATCAGTGACCCTGAAAGCCGAATAACCAGTGGAAATTTATTCGTGTTTCTAATTCGATTTTTCTCTTTTCAAGTCTTTACCTGATGCTACTCAATTTCCGACAAATACGAAAGACATCAACTTCAACAGACGATTTTTTTGAGAGAAAAGAAGATACTTGAATGATTCAAAATAAATTTTAAAGGGGAAGAATAGTACTTTCAATCCCATAACGAATTTTGCAGTGAAAATTACCTCGTGATGTAATGGATTCAGACACAGCATGTCAAAAACCCCCGGAAATATATACAGGGTGATTCACAAATGGTGACCAAAAATTGAACCTCGTATTTTTTGGTAATTTTTAAGGGGAGTCTTCCTATAAAGTTTTTATCTAGGACACTTCGTTAAAAAGATACACGGTGTTAAACTTCAAAAAATATTTTTAATTTTATTAAATAATGTTCCAGTAAAACTTAAAAAACAAACTGAAAACACTTTTACTTAATTGACATGACAAATATTAATCATTCCGTTATTTATTCGAATAAAGAAATTAATAACATTAGCCATCATTTTATTGATTTTATTTGAGAAAATGCTTAAAAATACCGCAATTTCCACGAACACAGGAATGACATATTTTTAGTAATGAAAATGTAATTTGTTCGAAATTTATTGTTGCTTGAATCTGATGAAAAGCATTATTTATTCTTTCTTCTAACTGCTCAGGTGTATTAATTTGTTCACTGTATACCAACCGTTTAACAGCACCCCATAAAAAGAAAACCAGTAGGTTGAGGTCCAGTGTTTCAGTTCGATTTTTAAGTTTTACTCGGAAATCAGGTTTTTTTTTTTGAAAAACGTAAGAGAGTAGCAATTTGTAGAAAATTGAAAGACGAATCCGAAAATATCATTATTGTTACCGTAAAGCAGTGGCGTACTATTTTATTTAGAAAAATATGCCACTGATACCCTATACCTCTGCCATTGGAGCATCTAAATTTTAGAAAAAGGCTTCAGATTTTGAACAATATTTACAAAAATACTTGTCACCAATTTCGAATTATTTCACTTACTAGTTTTTAAATTATTTAAAAAAATTAAAAATATTTTTTGAAGTTTAACACCCTGTATCTTTTTAACGTAGCGTCCTAGATAAAAACTTTATAGGAAGACTCCCCTTAAAAATCACCAAAAAATACGAGGTTCAATTTTTGGTCACCACTTGTGAATCACCTTGTATTAAGTGTCTCACAATGGACTCCATCGATGGATATCTGGGAAACCGCTTGAAGGATTTTTTTGAAATTGTGGTGGTGATATGGACTGTGGGGCCTACGAAGCCTATACCGGAACTCGATACCATCTTTCTTAATTTAAATGGAACTCCCTGTATATTATTGCATTTTTGGAAAAGAGCATTTATTTTTAAGTTGAAAACATATAGCACTCTCTATACTTAGGATTGACCATTTCCGAGTTATTTTGATTTTCAGGCAAAAATTGACAGATGCACTGTCAGCAAAATTTAGTTTTACTGGAAACACAGGTTTATTTTTTTGTGCGAATAGGAAATTTTGTAAAGGAAGACCTAATTTATTGGATTTGACAAAAAATTTTTCAATTTTTATACAGAGTGGTCAAAAAAAAAGATATGAAGAATATGAAGTTCAGAAAATGTGAAAAACTAGAAATTTTTAAATAGAAACCCCCAATTTTTTTATTCTGCACTAAAATTGAGTGTAATTTTGTTAAAGTTTCCCTATACCAATACCCAGTCGTTTTCATTTTATTTTCCCAAAAAGAGAACAACTAAAAAAAATTATAAAACATGTATCACCCTGTGTGTCAAAAACAAAATGTTGACTATTAATAAATGTTTTTTTCTTACTTTTAGTCAAAGAATAACCTATAGGTACAATTTAGTGGAATACTGAGACATCGTCAACAACAATAGTAAAAACAATAAAAGCAAAATCAACAAAAAGTTGAATGAAAATGTTAATAAATAAAAAAAGTTAATCCTTTCAATTAATTTTAAATATTAATAGAACCCTATATAACTCGTTCATTTTAATATACCCGTTACATAAATAGGCACAATTATTGTCTATAGAAAGTTACTATGGAAGGCATCTAGTAGGTATTTAAGTTACTAAATTATGTTAATTTCACTTCAAGTATGTACGTATTTGTTTTTCATACGCTACGTTGAACAAATGTTTTCAATTATTACATCCATTATTCGCGTTTATGAGTAATCGTTCGGATTCGTATTAACATCAATTTCTCTGAATGTTTGAGCGATACAAATAATTTTATCATAGACTATAAACGGAGACAGAAATATTTCCTCCATTACATAATAAAAATTCCACGAATTTGATAAGAGCAGCAAAATGACTGTGCATTGTACGTAGGTAACAAATCAGAAAAGTAAATCTGTATTATCTCATTTTAGACAACGAGATGATAAAAGTTTTAGACAATAGATAGGTACGGACTGTTCAGATATGATACCTTTTTTTTTAAAGCTTCTGTTATGAGTTTATCACATACTAGACAAAATTGTACCTCCATTATTATTAAAAAAAGCGTCAACATTAAGTTACAAAGAAACAATTAGCTGCTACTCACGTTCTACATAAATCTTACCATCAAAATTAAAATAAAATTAAACTAACGCGTATTTCTGGCGTTTTAAAAATATTACAATGTCTCTGGAGAAAAAATTTCCAGGTGGGTGTGTTTATAATGAAATAAATGTTTGTTGATTTAAGACTCAATATATCCACAGACATACGCACAAATTTAAAAATGAAGGAATTTTATTATAATCCACAGTTTCAGGTGTTCACATTGCCTCCTCAGATGTATACAAAGTGAACTAGAGATATGTATAGAGATATGTAGATACACAATGATTCGCAAATGGTGACCAAAAATGAAACCTCTTATTCTTTGGTAATTTTTAAGGGGAGTCTTTCCTATAGCTGTTTTACATTGACAATTTATTGATCAATTAATTCATGAAGTCGCTTCATCAAGAAATTGGACAAGTGTAATGCACCAAATCTCTTGGCGAATTAGAGCATGTTCTAATTTTCGCCAATTTCTTCGTGAAGTTCGGAAGTACCAACCCAACAGATTTCCTGCCTCAGATAAGTAATGAGGTTATGTTATTGGAATATGTAAATAATTGTGTGGCGTCGTGCTAGTTTTGCATTGTTTTTACTGAATTGTTACTTACAAACACTAATATTTAAATAATATGTGTCAGAACGGTACCGCTGTTGTATCATTACAATTATGAGTGGAAAGGTGACATTTTTGCAATTTATTTGCTTCTTCAATTCATTGGTAGAACTGATTCATACGTCTAAAAACTTGACAAAGTCTGTAGCAGTGTAAAAACACACTGTTTACTAATAAATTCGTGAATTAATTCATGAAGAACTTTGTCAATTTATTCATGAATAAATTGTCAATGTAAAACAGCTATTATAAAATTTTTATTTAGGACGCTTCATTAAAAACATACGGTATGATAAACTTTACAATTAATTTAATTTTTTTAAATAACTAGTCAGTGAAATAATTTGAAATTGAGCACAAGTATTTATGTAAACATTGTCCAAAATTTGAACAACCATATATTCAGATTCATCTTTCAGTTTTCTACAAATTACTGCTCTCTTTTATGTTTTTCGAAAAAAAAGCCTGATTTTCGAGTAAAACATAAAAAAACGAACTGACAAACACATTTCGATATTCAAATAAAATGCAGTTTAAAATTACATAGTAGGCTGCAATAGCAACTTTGACATTCTGAGCAGTTAGAACAAAGAATAAATAATGCTTTTCATCAGATTTAAGGAACAATAAACTTTGAACAAATTACATTTTTGTTACTAAAAAATACCGAGCCTGTGTTTGTGGAAATAGAGGTCTTTTTGGAGCATTTACTCAAATAAAATCATTAAAATGATGACTAATGTTATTAATTTCTTTATTAAAAACAACAACAAAGAGAGTAGTAATTTGTAGAAAATAGATAGATAGATAGATAGATAGATAGATAGATAGATAGATAAGCATTTTATTCCTGTAGATAAACATTTACATTTATATGGGATCCGTCAATAGAAAAAATAACAATAAGCACAAACTTACACAAAACAATCAACAAATCAAATTAAATACATTCAGAGTAAAATTCGTCTAAACTATAGAAACATCCCTCGATCAGAAATGCCTTCAAGGATCCAATAAAAGCCTTTCTACCTTTACAGAGTTTTACATCCAAAGGCAATCTATTATATATACTCAAACCTACTACATCAGGTAAACGTCTTGCTATATCTAGCCTTCTAAATGGAACATAAAAATTATTTCTGTTTCTAGTGGAGTACAGGTGGCGATCACCCTGTCTACCAAACGTATCATAATTGTCATAAATAAATGTACAGACTTCCAGCAAATATATACCGGTGAGTGTCAGTATCCTCAGCCTACGAAAGATATTTCTACATGAGGTTTGATTGGTCGCCCCAACCATACAACGAACAATTCGCTTTTGGGTTAAAAATACATCAGAGGTCATTGCACCTAATCCCCAAAAGCATATACCGTATTTTAATCTGGCAAATACCTGCGCATAATAGATACACATTAATTGGCTCTGTGTAAGGACCTGCCTTACATTTCGAAAGAGAAAGCATATAGAAGCAAGCTTTGATGTAAGTGCAAAACAGTGATCCCTCCAGGTCATAGTATCATCAATTATTAGACCGAGAAATTTTACACTCCTATCCTCCCCTAAAATATCATTACCGGCTTTAATATTAAGCTTAAGGTTACTACGGTTCTGAGATGTATGAAATCTCAACAGACTAGTTTTGGCACTATTTAGGTACAAAAAATTGCAATTAAACCAGTCATTTAGGTCACGAAGAGCACCATTACAAGCACTTTCTAAAATATCGTTTTTAGGTCGAGATACAATTAAAGAAGTGTCATCAGCATACAAAGTTGCCGAAACGCCGTCAGGTAAACAATTTTCCAGGTCATTCATGTACAGAAGAAACAACACAGGGCCCAAAACAGAACCCTGAGGCACTCCAACCGTAACATCCACCTGCCGAGAACATACCTCCCGAATCTCTTGACCATGCTTAGAGGTCATTCTAACCGATTGTTTTCTATTTTTTAAGAAACTAGAGATCCACAATAACGCAGGTCCTCTTATTCCCTATTTTTCGGACTTATACAAAAGTCTATCAATATTTACACAATCGAATGCCCTGCTGAGGTCGCAAAATATCCCAGCAGGGCACTCACCTCGGTCGACAAAATTAATCAGTTGAGTGTAAAAAGAAATTATTGCACTATGTGTAGATTTTTTAAACTAAAATCCGTGTTGTGATACTGTCAAAATATTGAATTCCTTCATAAAACTCTCCAAACGAGATCTAAAACAGTACTCAAATACTTTACTAAAAGCTGGCGATAAAGTAATGGGCCTATAATTATCAACATTATGCCTATCTGATCTTTTATATACTGGTACAACATGGCTAAACTTGAGAGCTCTTGGAAATTGGCCTGTGACAAATGATAAATTAGAAAGATGAATCCGAAAATATCATGGTTGTTACCGTAAAGCAGTGGCGTACTATTTTATTTAGAAAAATATGCCACCGATACCCTGTATCTCCGCCAACGGAGGATGTAAATTTTAGGAAAAGCCCTCAGATTTTCAACAATGTTTACATAAATACACGTCACCAATTTCAAATGATTTCACTTAAAAATTAAATTATTTAAAAAAATTAAAAATTTTTTTTGAAGTTTAACACCCTGTATCTTTTTAACGAACCATCCTAGATAAAAACTTTATAGGAATGATAAAAAATTTACCAAAGAATACGAGGTTTCATTTTTGGTCACCATTTGTGAATCATCCTGTATACAGGTAATCCCCGAGGTAATGGGTCAAAATTCATGGGTAGATTCCCGATGCAAAAATGTTGCGATTTAGCCGAACTTACATTAGTCCAAAAGTTGATAGCTAAAGAGATACAGGGTGTTAAATGTAAAATATTATTTTAGTTTATTTCCATTTATTTCTTAATAAATGCAAATATCCACACAAAATTTTAGGGTTTGGGGTTCTTTGGATCGAGGAATTGAAATCTGTTCACATTTTGGTTATAGTTCATAGAGGGCGCCAGCTGCCGTAGATTGAAGGTGTTGGAAACGACATAACTTTTTTGTACTTTAAGGTATCTCATCTTTGGTATCAAATTCTTATTTTCCAACTTTTTTTACACAAAAAAGGTATACTTTATGAAAGTAGCTGTCTCGCATCGTTTTCGAGATATTTGGCTTTGAAACTTTCAATGTTAATAGTGAAATAATTAAAATAATTTAGAAATGTCTAAAACAAGGGTTTATTTAGAATAAAAAATTGTAATGAATTGTAAAATAGTAAACATTAGTAAAAAATATGCCTTATTGACAATAACTACTAAAAATGTCAACCTCTAACTTCAATCAGTGGCGGCTCGTGTCATTCACAATAGGTGAAGTATATTAATTGATTGACTAAAAAGAAAAAAAAAAAAGCGCCGCAGGCAAAATTTTTCAAATTCAAACAAAGAATCGTTGTAACCGTGTACTGGGCAATGGCGACGTATCGTATAAACAATTTAAACGCAGGCGATGGGCGATGGCGATGCTGCTTCAATTTCCACGTCACTCGTCCCCCATGCCGTAGTTTACTCACGTGATGGCCGCCTCGCTGCCATGACAACCGCCGTAAACAACGTTATGAAGTGAAGCGGAATACAAACTGATTTTGATCCGCGTCACTTATGTTGTTGCTGTACGAGGCTGATGTTCGCGCTCAACAAAGACAATGTTTTTTTAGAAGGCGTTCACCGCGAAATTATTCTGTTTATTTCTGCGTATAAAACAAACAAACACAATACATTTTCAATATAGAATTATACGTAAATTATAAAATTTATATAAAATTAAAAATAATTTTAAATTGACCAACCAAACGGAAATTTTAGGTGAAGCGGTGCGTCACTTGCCACTGACTTCAATACAATTATCAACGCGTTTATTAAAAGATTGTCTCATTTTAAAGCACAAATCCTTATCATGAAATGATTCCGCAGCTTTTAAAATCCGTTGCCAAAGTTCTTACCGGGTGTTTATAGTTTCTCCATAAACAACCGATTTCATGTAACCCCAAAAACAAGTCATTGGGGCTGGAATCAGCTACTTTCATAAAGTATACCTTTTTTGTGTAGAAAAAGTTGGAAAATAAGATTTTGATACCAAAAATCAGACAGCTTAAAGTATAAAAAAGGTATGTCGTTTTTAACACATTCAATCTACTGCAGCTAGCGCTCTCTATGAATTATAACCAAAATTTGAACAGATTGCAATTCCTTAACCCAAAGAACACCAAACCCCAAAATTTTGTGTGGATATTTTTGGATTTATTAAATGAAAAAAAAAAACTAAAACTATATTTTACATTGAACACCCTTCATATCTTTAACTATCAACTTTTGGACTACGGTAAGTTCGGCTAAATCGCAATATTTTTGCTTTGGGAATCTACCCATGATTTTGGCCCGTTACCTCAGTACTACCCTGTATTTTAAACAATAGAACAGTTTACTGTACAATTTTTTTTTGCAAAAAAACATTAGGAAATATGCACGATTTTTCAATAGAAAACTTTGAGATGTTCAATTAACCAAAACATTTTACCATGAAAATACATTTTTAACGAACCTATCATTTCTCTATTCGTGTAAACCGCCATATTTCTCATAAATACACAAAAGTTAACTAAAATTATTAATAAAATACACTTAACGGTGTGTAAAAGAAAAACACTGTCCGCGAAAATAACAAATCGACACAAACACGTCAATCCGTCGACATGTTATCCGCGATTATTTTCACAGTAATTTAATGACCACAGAAACTCTACTTTTGTTAGTTAAGTATTAGTTTATTTTTATTAATCTTTATCAGACGCTTACCTTCGCCATCTTGATCCTGTGGGCCTTCTGCAGGTGGGCGACGATCTTCCCGAACAGCGCCCTGATGTCTTGCGTCACCGGCGACACGAAGAACGACCCGCCGTCGGTGTCCTGGTAGAACCACCTCAGCTTCTTGATGTCCACCGGCTCGTCCAGCCTCAGCTTGGGATCGGCGATGACCTTCAGCAGAGGCAGCAGGTCCTCGGCACGCCTGCACAACGGTCCCACGCCCAGGAAACGGGCCTGTTCGTCGGTGACGGGCTCGGGGTACTGACCGTGGTTGGGCACCGCTCCGGGGGAGGGCTTGTGGCCGAAGACGCCGTTGAAGAAGGCCGGCATGCGGATGGAGCCGCCGATGTCCGAGCCGATACCTGTAGGTCCAAAAGTAGAAGAAGTCATACCTTGCTTTGAAATGAGACAAGTAATAATGTAAACAAAGACAAAATACAGATTAAAATAATAATAAAAGACTAAAATGCGTGTTAATTTATAAAAGTATAAGTTTAAGTATAAAATCCACGCTTTATTAAATATTTTTAAATTTACAATACAATGAACTATTTTATATCAGATTAAAAACTTGCAGAAATGGTGGTTCGATTAAGTTATGGGTCCTACAGCCTACCGGTTTGAAAAAGATGTCAAAAAATTCTGTACTCACCGAAAGCTGAGATAGCAGCGGCCTGAGCGCATCCCTCGCCCCCCGACGAGCCGCCCACGATGTGGTTGGTGTTGTAGGGGTTGTTGGACCTGCCGTGAACGTTGTTGGCGCTCTCCCACCACATGCACAACTCCGACACGTTGGTGAGGGCGATGGGGATGGCGCCGGCACGACGGAGGCTAGCCACCACCTTGGCGTCCTCGGCGGCAATGATGTTCTTCCTCTTCACCAGCCCCGAAGAGTGGATCATGCCTGCCATGGGAATGAATAAAATTTAATATTTTCAGTCATAATTACTTGTATATTTATTAAAGGGTGCATGGAGCCCGAAAAAGAAAAATTTCAAAAAAAAAAGATTAAGTTGCCCTTTACAACTAACAAAGTAGGACATGCAAAACAGCGTTATAAACAAATGGTCCAAAGGTCAGGCAGATGCCGCTCGGGAATTCGCTCTTTTTGCATTAATAGAGCTTATTTTTAAAATACAGAAAAAGAGAAATCACCTACGCCTTTTTGTTCCCAAGATAACTTTTTTTATATAATGTACAATATAATCAACATCACTTTTTGCAATAATAATACGTAATTTTCGAAAACTGATTTTTTCGTTTTCGACCTTTATTTTACAGTTAACAAATTGGTGAAATATGACTTTAGATACCTTAAATTGTAGGTAATTAAATTGCCTACAATATAAAATGACTAATTTTCCGATAGGTTGTCTAGATTTTCGTGGGCAGTAAAAAAAGTGAAAAAAAAAACTAATTTTGCCACTTATTTGCAATTTGTCAACTTAGCGTCACTTCTTTCGAGTTACTTTTTTGATATTATCATTCTACATACTCTTCCCAGTCATAATTATACTAATAATTTTTTCAGGTTCCAACTCTAATTCGACGAAGTAGAATGGGACATTTGACACCTTTTTAACAGAAAATTAAATATTGTGACAAAAAACTTGCTGCAAATTTTATGAAATCATTATTTAACTAGAAATTAAAATATACAGGGTGATTCAGAACTTATCCAAAAAAAATTCTGGATGTAGAGGGGACCCTTACAAATATAATTTTGTAAAGAAAAAATCAAAAAGGGCAGTTCGAAAATGATTTAAAAATACACTTCTGCACGGCACTGGAAACTGGACCACTGTAAAACCTGACATCGCACAATGCGACCGGCATAACGGTGTGATAAAAACGGAAAAACGCAAGGAATTTTATATCGGCAAATACAACTGCTTTTGCTTTTATTAATTAACAAAATTAATTTGTGTTTTTAAATAATAAAATCATTTGACATACCCGATGTTATAACAAAAATTGTTCAAAATTTTATCCACCAACGTGTAAAAACATTTGGGTCCGTCTTACACAGTTTCTACGAACTAACACAAATGTCTTGCTTCGCCATAACACAAATCCATCAACTCCGAGTTGCTATCGCGCAAACCATTTTTGACACTAACTACTAAAAAACTATTGTAAACACCACAGATAACAGGTAAATACTATCGCAACGACGATTGCAAAATCCGATTTCAGTAGTCAGAGTCGCTGGGGCCACGTGGCTCTCCACGCGCATTGCGAATAACGCTAGAGACTACAGTTGGCAGTTATGTAGTGGTTGAATGTACTATAACTTCAATAATTTTTTTCTCGGAAACTATAAGGATTTTACAATTTTTTTTTTACGATATTGACTCCATTTCTCATGCCGCATCTATTCCCAAATTTTTTTGGATAAGTTGTGAATCACCCTGTATATATACAACTGCAACGAATTTGGCGAACAGCTTTGAAGTGCTAAATTGCTTTAATTGCGCAGTCTATTAATAGGAAGCTCAACTAGAAATCTCAAACTATTGTCCTTTTATTTAGTAAAAGAAAGACAACGACAAATTACTTAAAGAAGTACTAACAACGCACGCAGTCTACGTCACAAGTTGAATTCAAATTTTTAAAATCAAACACCCCATTCTCTCCGGATATTTAGATTACTACATTTTTGTCCTTGTTGTTCTTATGGTTTTAGAGTTAATTTTCGTAAGCCCCTATAAGCTTAAAATCTTATAAAGAAATTTTTATACTGCATTTTTTAGTATGCCCGAACTTTACAAGGAGAACAATTTTAAAATTATTTCTCATGTACCTACCAAAATGTAAACAATGCCATGCATTTTTTGTCGACTATTTCAAGAACAACGATTTGTTATTTATAATTTTCTGGACAAACCCAGTTGTAAACACCTTTAAAATATACGTATGCATATTTTGTAACTTACGTACAAAACAAAACATTGATTAATGAATAATACCTCATAAAAAGTTATAACAATTTAACAACACGAGTAAAAAACGTAATTAGTATTCAATCTTTTTTGATATGTAAAGTAAAACTGGCTGTCCGCTCTGTTATTAATGTTTTGCTGCTCATTAGAGCATTTCTATTATTTCCAATTAGTCCCATTAAGTAGTTATCGGTAATTGGCTACCGAGCTGACTGAAAAACAACTACTTAGTCATCGCGTTTATTTCGATAATAAAATGTCCATTATTAAAAGTTAAAAGTCAGGTATATAATAATAAAAAGTAAGGATTCTATCCAAAATTGTTTCTTTCACCATCAAAATCTAGCAAAACTTTTTTCCTCGGTACTTGTTTTGATGCGCGTCGTACTGGTTTCATATTGTTTATTTTAAACATTTGAATAATAATACGCTAATACTGCAATAATTGTTCTACATTTTACATTAAAAAATTAACAAGAAGGTAAAGAGTACCTAATACAAAATAATGCAATGAGCATTTAATACAGATCGCTGTATTTTTATCAACAAAGTGTATTATTATGTTTTCTATTCAGAAACGCAGATTACGCGTTATTTTAATCTAAACTAACACATGTTTAGGTGTACAGACATATTTATCTCATAAAAATCATATCAATGACCATTAAATAAAGTTTAACAACACCATTCCGATACAATATACAACTGTTCCAATCTTTTTAAATTTCATATGTGCTCGTGCCTATTTTATTTTCTAAATAATCAACATTTGCGACTTGAAAACAAAAACACACTTAACATTCACAGTTACTACAAAGCTGTGACGTAGAAATCCAAGGCTAACTGTATTTTTGTTTTGTGAAACTGTCAGAATATTCCTTCCATAACAAAGACTGGAAAATTATCTTTCTGTTATACAGGGTGTTTGTAAATAAGTGCGAAATATTTTAGAGGTGGTTGCCCAAGTTATTTTGTGAAAAAAAAGTTCATGTAAACGTAGATCGAAATATGCTTCGTTTCCGAGATACAATGTTTAAATTTTATTTTTTTATTGAAGTATTTTTATTAATTATTTCAGTTTTAAAGATAATTGACTCGAAATTTGAAAAACACTGGAGGGATAAATGTGCATTTTTTGGGGTGATACACAAATATTTCTACTTGTATCAGTGGCGTTCGTGCGAGAATGCCACAACCTTTCTTAATAAAAAAAAATGGTACGCCACTGACTTTTTCCCGTTTTGATATTTTTTTTAGAAATCCGCCATCAATACTGAATGAAATTGGCCTCTTCAATTTTTTTCATAGGATACGATTGTATTTTGCGATATTTGAAATCGAATTGAGGCTCGCGCAATACCTATTTGCACATAATAGTGTAATTATTAAAGAAAATTTTAAGCCCGACTCCGTTCCTAAAGATGTGGCGGCTTCTGAATTATGGGGATTTTACAAAAACGCTTTTTTATCTAAACGCGATTTTTGCAAAAACTAAAATATTTTAAAAAAATCATTTTATTTTGCTCACCAAGAGCTATCCTTTCAAAAAGTTCCATAAAAAAATATTTATTTTTGAGTTATTTGAAAAAAAAAATGCGATTTTTAGCGGTTTTTTTTGCAATAACTAATTAATTTTTTTATCGATCAAAACCGGTTTGGCCTTATCCGTTTCATATTAAAAATTCCTACAACTCTTGTATGAAACATTTTTTTCTAAAATGTTCAGTTTTTTTTTTTTAATGAAAACAACTGTTTTTTGCGAACTTTTGACGCCATTTTGAAAATGAAGGTGGGGGCAAAGTAGTTCATTGAATTTTACGGAATTTTTCCTAATTTTTACATATTTTCAAATACTGAACTATTTTTTGGCAAAAAAATGAGGTATTTTCGACAATTTGATTGGACTTTTAATAAACGATCATCGCAAACTAAAGTCAAAGGCTTAAAGTTTTCTCAGTTTTTCTCAAAAATTTCGATATGCAAAGGCATACAAATTTTATATGGTTGGAAAGGGGTTAAAAAAATCTATCAAAACATGCAAAAAAATGTATACAACCCCATTTAAAAAATATCGATGACGTCACAAGCTCATCTACAGTGTGACAAAAATAAAGCATTTTGTGCCTCAGTATAAATAAAATAACATCCCATTAAAAATATACAGGGTGGGCCATTTAGTGTGAGAAAGTAATATTATAACTCCCTTGTTATTCGTAATACAGAAAAAAAGTTTATATAAAAGTTCTACATAATAAAAAAACTTAAAGGAGAAAATTAATTTGAAACACACAGGGCGATGAGTGAAAATGGGACACGCCAAATATTACATTTTTTAAATGGAACACCTTATATATTTTTAAACATATGGATTTCTGAGAAAATTCTATATATGGCAATATAAACAGTTTTCTGAGAAAATTCTATATGTGGCAATATAAACAATTTAACATTTTGCGGGATTGCCAAGTTATGTAGAAAATTCATCGAATTTTGAAAAAAAAAAACATGATCTCGAAGAAGTTGTATTAACTTTCAACTACTAACACTTGGAGCAAAAATATTTGACAGAGTTATAGGCAAAGACTCCTATATTAGCTAATATCGATATTTTATACAGGGCATTTTTTATAATACGATCATTTTTAGAAAGTTTAAACTTGATTTTCTAAAATTTTTCAAATGTATTTTATTGTTCTATTTTATTCACATATCGGTCCACTTCAACTTTCATTAAGCATGTTCTACACTTAAAGTTGCTAGTTTTTAAGATATAGCAACATTTCTGAAAAAATTTAATTTTTATTATTTTATAGAATGCCACAAATAAATATTAACTAATAAAATTAACTCAAAATGATAAATTATGAACTGACAAGTTGACACAATGTGATAGTTTTCTCCAAAGCCATTTCGTGAGACCGAAAATAATAACAATAGGTTTTTCCAGAACTGTTGCTATATCTTAAAAACTAACAACTTTAGGTGTAGAACATGCTTAATGAAAGTTGAAGTGGACTGATATGTGAATAAAATAGAACAATAAAATACAGGGTGTTTGAAAAATTTTAGAAAATCAAGTTTGAACTTTCTGAAGATGATCGTATTATAAAAAATGCCCTGTATAAAATATCGATATTACGTAATATAGCAGTATTTGCCTAACATTTGCCTATAAAACTGTCAAATATTTTGGCTCCAAGTGTTAGTAGTTGAAAGTTAATATGTGCAACTTCTTCGAGGTCATGTTTTTAAAAACTTCGAAGAATTTTCTACATAACTTGGCAACCCCGCACTCAAATGTTAAACTGTTTATATTGCCATATATATTTAATTTTCTCAGAAATCCATATGTTTAAAAATATATAGGGTGTTCGTGTTCCATTTAAAAAATATAATATTTGGCGTGTTCCGTTTTTATTCATCGCCCTGTGTGTTTCAAATTAATTTTCTCCTTTAGGCTTTTTGACTCTGTACAACTTTTATATAAACTATTTTTCTGTATTATGAGTAACAAGGGCAAGGGAGTTATTTTACTTTCTCCAAAAATGGGTAACCGATTTATAGCTCGGGGCATTTATAATCAAACAGACTGTATATTTATAACCTTTCAATATGCTATAACTATAGTACGATCGTATTCGATGCAAAGTAATAAATCATTGCCTGTCAAGGGAATCAGTGCAACACATTTTATAGGGGGTTTTGAAAATTGAATAATTTCTTTATGCATTATGGATTAACAGTTATATATTTATGAAGGACAAAATGAAAAACAAAGGCATCTCCTTCGCACATTGGGCGGCAGGACAACAATACATTTATTACTCCCTTCATTATCCCTCATATGACTTGTGTCTTGTGTTTTTTGCGGCGGCGCGCGTGCCGGCCTGGCGTGGTCAGTTTCGTTTCGGTTGTATTGGTGCTGCGTGTTTCTCGCTCGCGATATTTGTGAGGTTATAACTGTTATAAGTGCAATTATATTTCTTTCGGGCTATATGTGTGTTTCGCGCTATTATTTGAGAATTTGTGAGTGAAATCATATTTCTTGTGCTCCGTAACAAAAGTGTTTTTAGTGTTTTATTTGTGTGCTGTGTGTGTGTTTCGGGCTGTTGTTTGTGAATCGTGAATGCTATTATATTTTCTGTGCTAGTGAAGTGAAGTTTTTTGTATTATTATTGCTCTGTTGTCGTTATATGGATAAATGGAGGCGGTGCCTGGATGTTCGCGAGCCGGATGTACTGCTGTGGGTACAAAAAAATCTATATTAAGTTACAGAGAAAAAACGATAATATTAAATGTCTATAACCCTTTAGAAAAGGATCATCCCATGAAACTGAAGACTGGTTTGGTGGAAATGTGTTCTAGATATACTGGAGTAAGCGAATTATCTGTTTTCAAAATTTTAAGAGAGAAGAAAATTGAAGGAGACGTTAAGAAACCTAAAAAAGGGGGTGCAAAGAAGAAATTAATATTAAATGAAGATGAGAAAAATGCAGTTTGGCGTACAGTACATAAATCATAGAATTTATATTTTGTTTATAATTTGTTAACATTTCTTGTTTGATAGAAAAATAACTTATTTTGTTGAGATTGGTAGAGAATTGTTGTTAGTGTTTTCATTTGATAGAATCATATCATAGGATTTATATTTTGTTTTCATTCTGTAAATATTTATAGTATATCTGTTATACAAGGTTTTTGCTTTGAAACTTCGTTCTCCTTATAAAAAAAAGAATCGTAATGGGGTGCGATGAAGAGATCAGTTCACGTCTGGAACCCTGTTCCTACAAAAATCCCTTTATTCTCATAAACTATTTGTTTTAAATGTAATTTATTATAAATCCAATTCGTTATTTAAATTCCACATATGTACTACATTTCACCTCTGTACGCGCCACTGTTTATTGTTCCCTGCTCTACGATCAAGCTCGCCAGGTTAGTATTTGACGTATAACCGACCACTTCGTACACTCGATGCACCTGGCCGACTACAGCTAGTACCAGAACACAGTGCGTATGCGGCGGTATTTCAGATTTTACATTCAATTTCATTTTAAATTTGAAACGGTTCATCTTACGCCTCCTAAAAATGATGACACGATTTTCCTTTGATAAAAGACCGACAATTTTTTGCTCTACTTTGCATCGTATACGATCGTACTATAAGCAGTTAGCAATAGAAAAATACAGGGTGTTAATTTACAATAACGAACACGCATTTCTTTAGAAGTCTTCAATTTCAACCGGTCACATTTGTTAACGGAACCTACCTTTAACGGGAATACAGTCTTTAGTGGTGAAGGGCACCCCCAGGAAGGGCTTCTCCTGGGCCAGCTTGTCCGTAGGGATGGCGCCGGACTCGATGAGTTCGTCGGCGGCGCGGGCCTCCTTCCTGGCCTGCTCGAAGCGGTCGGCCACCACGCAGTTGAGCAGAGGGTTGACTTCCCCTATCCTCTCTATGAAAGAGTCCAGCACCTGCACGCTCGTAATCTGAAGCAACAAAAAAGAATGTGAAAAAAAAAAACTATGCGCAAAGGTCGTTTTGCTAAAATTAATGGCGAAAACAGTAGGTACTTAATAAAAATAAAAGATTTTCCCAATAATCCTATTTTTTCAAACAATTTGTGTTATTTTTTTCAAGGTACGACTTCCAAATTTCAAGTTACAACTCTCAGATCTGAGCTCTCAACCCCTCTCTAGGTTTTGGATTATTTCTGCAACGAACTTTGCATTTGCTAAGCAAGAACCTCGTAACTGACACCCATGAAAATTAAGTTTTTGCTATTTTTACAGAAACCAATGCAATTTCTGGTACAATTTTTTTAGCCATCTGCAAAACAACTGATTTAAATTCACTTTAAACCGAAGCTTTCGTTTCATTTACGGTTTTTATTCATCGCAGTTCATTATTTTTTTTTTTGTTAACTCCCTCGTGTATGCTGTTTTTTTGTATTTAATAAATCTTCAAAATTTGAAGACATTTGTACATAAAAAAATATTTTAATAGAATAAACTTATCCTGAAAATTATAAATTTCTGAATTAAAATGTGGATAATATTGAAAATAATGGAAACATGCTCAAAACGAACAAAATGTTATTCACGACCTTCTTGCTTAACAGGGTAGAACTGTCAGTTGTCTTCACATTATAGTCAAATCTCTGGCAATACCTGAAGCCAAGAAAAAGTTTTGAAAACTTTACACAAATGGGTGGAGGATATTTTCATTTCACAAACAAACCATTTGACATTTGTCGAACTTTTTTGGTATCATTATTAAAATATAGAGAGAATTATTACCACATTATTGCTAATAATGATCGATTCAGATTCTGATAGTCGAAAGAGTCAGATATTGAAGCAGTCGCGGAAAATGTTGCTTCATTTCTTTCAGAAAAATCAAAATTTCGGTAGGAAGAAATAAAAAGTTGGATGAATGGTATAAAATTAAATGGTATAGAATTAAAGAACAACGAGATGGTTCTTTTAGCATACTTTGAAAGGCTATCAAAAATACACAAGCCGTCGTCGCTTTGGGTCTACTATTCTATATTCTATTCTGCATTCGATGCCAGTAAAATACAATTGCATTTGTAAAAAGAGAAAGTCTGAGGGCTTCCGGTGCAAAAAAAACAAAAGCGTTGACTAGAGATGACATTACTAAATTTTTACAATAAGCTAGTGATAAAATCTTTCTTGTGAACAAGGTTACATTAATAATAGGATTCGCAGACTTGTAGGCGTAAAAAATTAACAAATTTATTTAACGGAAATGTTATAAACGAAGGTCAATGCATCAGTATCATTATCCCGAATATGAAAACGGAAATTCAACGTGAATTATTTTGTTATCAGAGGAAATATCGAAGAATAGACTTTTTTTAGTGTGACGTCACATACGTAGACAATCCGCAACAAATTGTCATAGTTGAAATTGTGCAGACCGAATCTGATCCCTGTGTACAATTTACATAGATACTATAAAAATGAACAACTTCAAATGAATTTATTTCTACAAGGATTTAGAAGTAAGAAGTATTTAAAACAACCAATACGTGTTTCGTAAAATAGATAGACTAATGTGCTTAAAACTTACAAAAAAACGATATAAAAGAAGATTCCTAAATTTAAATAAAGTAGAAATTTAACATTAGCCGTGTTATTCCTAATGCGCATGCTCAGGAAGTATAGCCTCATACGCAGGTGAGATCTTGTTGAAATGTTATCGCTGTCATCATTAGCGTATTTTCTCTTGTTTTATTCAATCTTTGCATTTTCTAGTTCTACTAAGTATTTTTATTGTTTTTCTTGGTGTTGTACTGTGTCAGTGTGTTTATCGAGTGTTTATTTTTCAAGTGGTTTATTATAGACGTACTTTTATTAACCACAACCAAACTTTCCTTGAATGATATCTATCCTGTTGCGAGGACACTTCGTTTACATGAACACATCTTTAATGCGCATGCTCAGTAACACTGATATAATTTTAATTTATTAATTACTATAAAAGTCAAAATTTATATATACAGGGTGTATCTAAATAACACCGAAAAAATTCAAGGGGCGATTTTCCGATGAAAATTAATAGGGGTCTTTGGTATAAATTTTTTTGAAAAAACCCTCCCCTGAAAAGTTACGCCCCCTTATCTGTCAATAAAACTACACTTTTTGAAATTTTTTCAACCCTGAACTATTTTTGTAAGGGGTTGAAATAATCAACCCCTATGACATTTTTTCTTATAATTTTTTTTTCGATAAAATTTTTTCCTTTTANATCTAGTAAAAATATTGAGAAATTCTTGACAACTACTATGGGCTTGCATATTATTTGACGTATGTGACGTCACCACTAAAAAGGACTATTTGTTGGAAATTATAAAAAGGTATTAACATTAATAAATATTACTTTCTATTCCTTATAAAAAAATCACGAGTGGTGTTACAAAAAAAACGACATCACATTCATTAAAATTAAATTTAAAATGATTGTTTAGTTTGGAACTGCACATTAAGAACACATTAGTGAACAGTTTATTAATTTATTTAATTTATTTCACATTGTATGGTTTAAAAAGAAGAACTTTCTTATTTTATTTCAGAAAAAAAACCAAGCCCATTCTATCTATTATCTTTAAGTTTTTATAAACATTTAGATGTCTTTGTTTGCATTAACTCACTCTTATATACATGAACTTTATATTTCAAATATACAAAATTCAGCTTGTTTCTGAAACAAGCGATTCAATTATTTAGTTGTAGTGTAGAAATTCTACTTTTTTTTTTGTTTCTCCACAAAGTACCACCAACGCTTTCAACGAATCCGAATACATACATTTGGATATTTCTATTTATATTCCGAACACATTTTTCAAATTTGTGAAAAACCTTCAATAAATAAATAATTCAACATTCCTACAATCATTTTTAAAATCTGTTTTAGCTAAAGAGAGGAAAAGAATAAAGTCGCGTCACATTTCGACTACAGACTTTTTCGCGGTGCAATTTGCTTATCCCCGTGACTCACCCGGAGATATTAACAGATGACCGAGTACGTTAATTTAGTTTTATTAGACGGTTAATCGCCCACCACTGTCCTGACAAATAGGACAACCATTAACTGCGGCCGACACTTGTTCGCGTGTACATACTATCCCCGTGCACTTTGTCGTTAAATTCCGTTATTTATCCCATAAAAACGAAATTTACTACTCATAAATTACAATGAAATATATGATTGTGAGCCGCGAGTTATATATAGCGGGAGTTAATAATAAACTTATATGCATGACGAGATTCGGGAATTGATACAATGTACTTGCATGATTCAGAAATTGGAATTTATTGGAGTACCTACTTATTTCGTTCTGTTAATCTCCCGACAGTTAAAAACACCAATACAATTTTTTTTCTATTTTTTCCCTTCCTGGCACATCGGTTAATAAAATTGTAATAGTTTTATTTTTGCAATATTTATTACGTACGTTTCGCACACACATTCATCTTCAGATCAAACATTCAACTCTTTATTCAAATGATATGAATGGATACGAATTACTTGCAAATAAATTCGACTGACTCTTTTCTCTTTCACTAAACATTAAAGAATTATTAAAGAAATATGACAGTAATATTTCGCACAAACTTATTACAACAATTTTTTTCCCCAAGTTTAAAACAATCCATTTCTGAAGAAAATAAAAGTTGTTTATAAAAAAATGCAATCACTGGGTATGAAACAATGAAACTATTGGCCAAATAAAACAATACCTTTCTAAAATAATTTATAATCACGAATATAAAACCGAAAATATAAATGCTAGAGGCATTTTTAAACATGCCACCATAAATAGTGATACTTTTATAATAACAGTAATTTTCAAACAAGATGTATTCAACTAACTGATTTATAAAAAAAAATAGTTAAAAAGATAATTAAATTTTACTTCTATTTCGCTTATAATGTATAAAAGTTTTCATAAAAGGTACCTAGTTGCACACCCCAAAATTAGATCACATACCTACTTAACATTAAATAAATTAAACACGTTCTTAATAATTATTATTATTTTGGAGTGGGAATTTTTTTATTAAAAGTAACATCACGATTCGATAGAGGGACGACGAATTCTAAGCAAAAAATGTTCTATAAGAATTTTTTGTATAGTCAATACATTTTGAGTTATTTGCGCCTAAAATGTTCATTTTTAACCCAAAAATTGCATGTTTTTGAGCCATTTTTTGCGAATATCTCAAAAATTACAAGTTTTATCAAAAAAATGATCATAAGCAAAAATGAAGGTAATTAAATAGCAAAGAGATTGCTTTTTTTATTTATGTAGATGGCAGAGCTGGGTAATTCCTGGTGAAAAAGTAATTAGTAATTACAATTCCCATTTTTTTTCCTGTAATTGTAATTGTATTTAAGTACTTTTTTTTATTAAAGTAATTTGGAATTGTAATTACAGCAAAATTGTTGTAGGAATTGTAATTTGTAATTATATTATTTGAACTATCGAATTACAAATTACTTCTATAAGTACAAATACTTTTTCCAATTACAATTACTTTTTCTAATAATTATAATTACTTTTAAGATCATGCGTATTGCGTAATTGCGTACAGACTTGCAGACTTCCATTATTTCATTTGAGGAAAGCCTTGTGCCGCGTAAACAATAAAAGGTGATTTGGTGAATTAACAGAGTACATTTTATTTTATTATAATTATTATTAATTTAGAAAATATACGAAGTAAAAATATGTTGTCTATAGCATCAAGTTTTATAAAAATATATATTATGTATCTATGT